GATTGTTGTTCGGGTAGGTGAGTGCACTGTTTACGTTCAGAAGAATAATGACGATACTGCTCAAAGATCTAGAAAACGTGGAGGTATATGGCGAAGATGTAGTTGTGTACAATCAGACAAAAACATATGACGTGAAGCGTGTGGGAGCAGACTTAAAGCGAATTGACGAATTTGGATTTCGAATTAATAAGGATAAGTCGCAGATAGCGTAAAGTAGCGTCGTATTGTTGGGACATAAAGTGGGAAATAGAGAAATAAAACCATTGCCAGAGAAAATTCTTACTATAAGGAATATTTCAGTGCCTGATTCGAAAAGGAATTTGAGACAGTTCCTGGTAATGGAGGCGTTTTACAGTCGGTTTGTCAAAAATTTCAACGAAATAGCAGCACCCCTATATAAGTTGGTGAGCAACACTAAGTTTACGTGAACTGAGACTGTCGAACAAACGTTCAATCAAATCAAAAACATGCTGGACGATCGTCGGATGACGCTTAGACTACACGAACCCGAGAAACCGTTTACAGTGTCCACAGACGCAAGTGATCATGGTATAGGTGCTGTCTTGAGTCTGTCTGATAGTGATGAAATACGCGAGTCGAATTCTCACACCCGCCGAACAGAAGTATTCAACGATCAAAAAGGAGTGTTTAGCAATCATGTGGGCAGTAGACAAATGGAGACCGTACCTTCTAGGTAGACGATTCCACATTGAAACTGATCATAAGCCCTTGAAGTGGTTGAAAACAGCAAGAAACCCACGACGGAATTTGACGCAACGGATAATACGTCTGCAAGAGTACGACTCCGGTATCGTCTATGTTCCAGGAAGGGAAAACGTAATGACGGATTACTTGTCAAAACCAGACATGCAAGCCGAGCTTCCATTGACAGCAAACGAGGTGAATAGTTCAGAAGGAGACCCATTAGAACTCGTCCGGCAGCAGATAGCTGACTGCAACCTTCGAGAGGTAATCACAGTGATAAGAGAGGGAGTAGACGTCGACAAACGAACAATGGACAAGGAGGTAATAATGCTGCTTCGGCAAAAGGAACGACTGAAAGTGAACGCGTATGGAGTCCTGACCTGGCAGGACGATGACGAGAATTGTGTGGCTGCGATTCCGAAAGACTGGCGACGTAAGATGATAAACAAGTGTCACCAGCTAGCACATACAGGCATCGCAAGAACGACGGATTTATTACAACAAAGTGCATACTGCCCGATCACGAGAGGCGATGTGGCTGAATACGTGTTAACTTGCCAGCAATGTCAACTAATGAAAAGCGATCTATACAACAAACCGCCATTACAGTCAATCCCAGTAACCGCAGTTGGTGATCTACGGTCGGTGGATGTGACGGGACCGTCTCTACAGACGGCGAGCGGTAACCAATATCTGCTAGTGATGACGGAACATGCTACACTTTGGGGTAGATTCCGTACCCATTGCATATCAGCGGGCAAGAACATTGACAGAAGTGGCAATCCGGCATATTGTAGCGTGTCACGGAATACCGAAGACAATTTTAACTGACCAGGGCCCCTGTTTTGAAAGTGACGAGTTTAAAGCCCATCTAAAGCAGTTTGGCATCAAGAGAATACGAACTACACCGTATCATCCTCAGACAAACGGGCTTACAGAGAGAAACAACCGGACGTTAAAGGAATGGTTAGCATCTAAAGGAGGAAATTGGGAGAAAGAGTTACCATTTATTTTGCTGGCGCATCGCTCCTTCATACAAGGAACAACCAAGAAGTCACCTTTCTTGCTCATGTATGGCAGACAGCCACGACTCCTAATGCATAATAAGACCTGGCCACAACAACAGAAGTGGACGACAACAAGGTTAAGAAAAGAGAGGAGGGAGGCAATAAGGAACGCGGAAAAGAAACAAATATCAGACATAAAGAATGCGGAATAACAGAGGAGAACGTGGAAACCTTTTGCAGTGGGGGACCTAGTGAAGTGTAGAGAACCAAAATGTAACACTGCAGGGGGAGCAGGGTCGGGAAAGCTGATCCCAAAGTGGGAAAGACCGTATGTTATCACGAAGAAACGCGGCTCAGTTTACACCATCCGGAGAGAACACAAGCAGAAGCGCGTAAATGCCAGTCAACTGGAGAGACGGTTTCACGAACAGCACCGAAGAAGACAGCGGTACGGCGATAATAATACGAAAACACCTTATTGTAATGGGAACAAGTGTGGTACGTGCTACTTATATTGACATAAGTAGCATATAACGCTAGTCAGGAATGTAATGTCTGGCAGCAGAAGATTGGGAAGATCAAGAAAGAAAGAACGGAAATAGAAAGCAATTAGTATAGAAATGCAAGAACAATGAAGTCCGAGACAATTATCGGATATTTTGCAAATTAGGTATTATAGTATGTTTTCTCTATTTTGCCAAGAAAAACTGTAATGTGCTAAAAATAAAATTCGGTTATCCTCACTTGTGTTCTCCTTCATTACTGTGTTACTGCCAGAACTAAGCCCACACAAAGGAGGATTGTTTGGGTTTAGCAACGCCATACCTTAGAAAACAACACTGTTAAAAAAAACACTAACCAGATTAGGAAAGGTTGCGATCGATCATAGCGAAGTGCTCATGAAGGGACCTGACTATATTGATGGGCTAGACTAAAGAAAGGAAGAACAAGATAGCAATTAGAACAAGAACAGAGAAAGACAAAACAATAAGAAACAGAAGATAAGGAAGCACTGGGCAACTGGAGAAGCACCATTACAAAAGCTCAATAAAGCCTTCCTTCGACATAATGACAAACTCAACGAATTCAAGATAACTCTCAACAACAGGTTCCATGCCTTATAGGATCTACTGAAAGAAACTACTATAGAGAACAACTGGGAACGAATCAAAGAAGCAATAGTTCCGTGTCGTAAGGTGCTGGGCGGCAACAAACATCACTATAATGAATGGATCTCCATCGAGACCCTCGCCAAGATTCAAGAGGAGAATAAAGAGACAGCAAACAAGCAAGCGATGAACAGCATTAAAGCTGATAAGCAGAAATACATGAGAAAGCTAGCACAGACAGTGGAAAAAGCTGCAATAGAGGTAAATGTAATACAACTAAGTGACACAACAAATAAACAGACAGGGAGATATTGTAAACCAGAGAGACCAGCCAAGGACAAAAAAGACAAGCCAATCACCGAAGCTCAAGAACAGAGGAACAGATGGGTAAACACTGGGAAACTCTTGAATGAGTCGACCCCATTGAACAGGACTGCTGACAGACTCATTCCAAGTAAGGACTGGAGTGAGACAAAGCTGTGTACTCCCTCCATTATGAAGGCCTCCACATCTCAGTGGAAGCACAGAATACAGCTCACATGCAACTAGATGATTCAAACTTCGCAGATGACCTGGCTCTTCTATCCCATACACACGAGCAAATGCAGATGAAGACAACCAGTGTAGCAGCTGCATCTGCAGCATTAGGCCTCAACATACACAAAGGAAGAAACAAGATCCTAAAATACAACACAGAGTACACCGACTCAATTACATTTGATGGAGAAGCTCTGGAAGAGGTGGGAACCTTCATGTATCTGGATAGCTCCATCAACGGATAAGGAGGATCTGGTGAAGACGTGAAGGCGAGGATTGACGAAGCAAGAGCCACATCCCTTTAAAGAACATATGGAATTCAAGACAACTGTCAGTCAACACCAAAGCCAGAATCCTCAACACGAACGTCGAGACATTTCTCATTTAGCCTTCTCCGTTTCAGTGCAGAAAACAATTCCAGCATACAATACTGTCTGATTCATTTATTTCAGACATTCTCAGTCGATATGCAAACAAATCAGACAGCATCATGCCATATAATAGAAAACAACAATTATACAAGATCAAGCCAAAAGTAGTTGAGTGTGTGAGACTGTAACTAATAAAGTGAGAATAACTTAAGAATAGTAGATCGTGTGATAATGGTCAATAGGTCAAATGTAAGAATACATATGGTTACTTAATGATTACATAATAAGAATATATGTGATAATAGTCCATAAATAAATCCAAACAGTTACCATTCATTTATTTTTCGTTAACATATAACACCTTTTTTTAAATCTGGAGCTTAAATCCTGATCTAAAAAATATAGGTAACTTTGAATCCTAACATCATTCTCCCCCGCGAAGTAAAGTTGGATCTTCATATTCTCAAGTTACAAATAATGTGGCTTTATTTCAAGCACATTTCTCATATTAACTAGAGAATTCACTAAAAGTAACTACAGCATTCGGTACGAGATCATCCGAACTATGATTACGTGTGAGTTCATTTCGAACTTGTTTCACAATGACTAAGTTTTCGACCAGAAACAAATATATTATGAGAACAAACGACATTTGCAATGACATAAGTAAGAATTGATTCTCCTGAAACATATTCTTAAAATTTATTAAAAACCTCGTTAGAGAAGAATGTATCACTAGGAAAATCAGCATTCATCAAAATTCCAGAATCTTCAATTCGAATGTGAAGACGGTCGTACTGTACGAAGCTGAAACGTGGAGAACTACCACAACCATCATCAAAACAGTACAGGTATTTGCAAACAATTGTCTACGCAAGATACTCCAGATCGGTTGACGGGATACTATCAGCAACAGCCTACTGTGGGAGAGAACAAACCAGCTTCCAGCTGAAGAGGAAATTAGGAAAAGATGCCTTAAGTGGATAGGACAATACATAGTGGAAATCATCAAACTGCATCACAAGACGAGCGATAACTTGGAACCCTGAAGGGAAACGGAAAAGAGGATGATCACGGAACACATTGTGTCGGCAATTGGGAGCAGATATGAAAAGGACTGCCCAGGACAGAGCTGGATGAAGAGTACCGGTGGGCGGCCTGTGCTTCTCCATTAGGGGCAACAGGCGTAAGTGTAAGAAGTGAAATTATGCACCAAAAACAATCCTCATTTTACGTCACTGCTTTAATTTTAAAAGAATTTGGTTAATTTTAACAGCAATGGCATTTATCAAACTACTTGGGAAATTGTCGGTGATGGTACATGGTATTCTGAGTCAATTAATAACAAAGAAACCTGATTAGCAGTAGCTGTACAACAGTTTGTGAGAAAGGATACCCTGATGGTCTGTTGCTGATTTACTCCTCCTTGTACGTTTGTTTTGACTGACATTTAGTTACTACTAAAGTGATTTTCTTGTAAGTAAGCAGTAAAGTTAAAAAGACAGTACATAACATATAGGTTATGGTGGGTCCATAAATCCAAAAAACTGTAGTAACAATCACCGCACCCATGACACGAGCCAATGCATTTAATGAACGGAATATACCCAACGTTTGCCCCTAAAATTCAGATAAAATTGGAGGTTTTACATCGATACTGGCTCTGACTAAATATTACTTAAACAAACAAAATACTCTGTAGGTTGTTATCAGTGGCAGGAACGTAGTGTTAAGACCCATCATTTAGAACAGTTTTAACGGTGATAAGTAGAGAAAATTACAAATGCATCTAAAATGTTGGATAGAACTATGTAAACTGATCCCTACATCCTGTTGTTTAGATACCAAGCAAGAAGCATCACGTAACGCATTTAAAAAAAATTCTATTGATTATGTTGCAACAGGGTACGTTGCTTCTTAGACTGAAGACAGAAGCACCTTTATAGGAGTATTATCCGATTACAGCAAACACTGATCATTGTGTTACAAAAAAACTATTCTGCGATACATTATATTCGTCACATTTCTAAAGCTAACAGATGATTGATGCAATTTATTAATAGAGGTCCTGTTTGCGAAAGCTAAAGATGCTCCCGGAAAATTGTGGTTACCAAATATGTATTGTGAGAAAACTCATCTATGCTATATCGTAAAATATTTGTAAGAAAAAGATACGTTGTACAGTGTAAATAAATAGTTCAGGTATGTCAGTCAGACGAATGGGAATGTAAGATGCTATCCACAGCGGCTCAATCCAGAGTGGCCAGAGAAAGAGGCTCTGCTGTCCCAAGTAAAAATCTAGTTTCAGGTATATGTGATTCGCCAAGAAATCGTTATATATATATATATATATATATATATATATATATATATATATATATATATATATATATATATATATATATATAATCTTGGGCATTTGATCCGGTTCAGCCCAATAAACTTCTTTTTCTCTTAATTTCCTAACTCCCTGAGTGAGTGAAGACTTCTGATACATACAAGAACCTTCTGTATTAGTCTCGAGTACCGCGCAACAAAACAGAAAGCTAAAACCTGGTTTTTGTGTGTGCTTAATAGGGGTTGGTTGCAAAGTTCCAATTATCTTGAAGACAGAATTGAAAATGTTAACAGCCTATTCGTTTCAATCAAGAATATCATTCAAGTATTTGAACCGCAGTTCCGATTTCTGTTTTTTAGGAAGTCTCCGTCATATAACAAGGAAGTGGTTAGGGTACATGCAATTTTTCACTCACACCTAAATATATTTCTAAACATACTTGTTGTTCTGCAGTAGTGTACAAAGAAACCAAACCGTTTACACTCGGAAAGAAGATGGAGGATGCAAATGCATATAAAGCTAGTCCGATATAGAAAACGAAAATATTTGTGGCGAAACTGAAAATGGCAGACGCCAAAATCAAACAGCAAGAACTCTGTTAAGAAAGAAAATAGAGAGAAACTGCCGTGTATAAATATTGTTAAAGAAATACTTTTTAGATGTAAGCATTCGATTGAAAAAGTAAAGTTATATCACTACATTGAATAAAATGAATTTATATGCAGTTAAACGTGTGGAATATTCTATCGTGTTCCGCACCTCCAAATGCCTTGATACAGCCAAGAGTAGGGACAATCAGCTGTCCCTCCGAAAATGCTTTTATATAACCAAGTGTTTGTGGGCATTGTCAAGAAATTCTTGCTCCCTGACCTTTCCTTGTACGGTTATTTAGAAGTAACAGGACGAACAACGAATACCCGACATTCGAACTGCGTTGTTGAATTTGGGATAGCCATCCATATATACACAAAAGACGTTCAATTCCGGCTCAATAACGATACGCCGTAAAGTTGATGGTGTAGCAATGGTAAGTCCGATAGGTTCAGATATTCTCATGAGTTATTTTGAGAACACGGAGCTTAGACAAGGAATTAACGAAATGAAGGACTACTACATATATGCTGATGACACGTTTATTGTCTGCAACAGTAGACAATATGCAGTCCACCTGTTATAATTCTTCATTAATGCTCATTTCAATATACAGTCAGTCAGTAACAACGTAGAACTTCGAACGTACGTACATCAGTTCGAGTTGCCACACCACATTAGCACAGAGATGCCGTGGTCGATTCAAATCCCGTAGTGGTAGAGGTAATAAGAGTATAAGCAGTAATCGGGAAGATTAGTGTTGGGAGATGTTACTTAAAGAGTATAATACAGTGAAATAAACTTGGGAAGAGAAAAAAAAAGAGACAAGGGGGAATCAAGAGATCAAAATTTGGGAGAACACAAAGAGTGGATGCACCTACGCTTTTGCAAACGATTTTGAGCCATATCATTCAAGGTCTCTAACCATTGGTTGCTATCATCTCGCGGTCCCCAACCAGGTAGTCTACGCCTACCAACATGACTCACTTGTCAGTGACTTCATGGACTTGTGCCATGTTTTGGCCTGGCCGCCCCTACATTTCTTCTAACCTACTCCTATACCACTGAACATCGCACGTCGAGGCAGTCGGTCGTTGGGCATACGTAACACGTGTCCCAGCCATCTCCACTGATGAAGTTTCACTACTTCATCAATTGATTTGCCATCCTTACCTAGTACCCGTTTCCTAACAACTGTATTACTTACTCGGTGGTCCCAGGATATACGAGCAATGTTTCGAAGACACCTATGATCGAATACTAGTAACCTACGAATATCCTCTACTCTTACCGGTCACATTTCACAGCCATAAAGTAGGACGGAACGAACTGCTGCGCAGTAAACACGTCCTTTGGTTGATAGACGGATATTTCGCCTACGCCATAAATGACGCAAGTTGGCAAAAGCTAGTCGAGCCCTCTGTATCCGTGCTGAGATTTCGTTAATTATTTGGTATTAGGGTGTCGATAAGAGAATCACGATTTCAAACTGTTACCCTGTTGTCGGTTTGATCTTCAGTCAATATTTGTTTAAGTATGTATCAGTCAGTTTTTCTTTTTTATTTACTAGTACCGAGCACCTAAGATTACAGCATTGCCTATTCTGATGTTCCGCCATAAGTCAGCAATGGTTCGACGATACTTACAGTCAAGTGGTTATTACTCATGTAGGTCTTCTACTTTTAAGAGCTGCTTTGCAGCCATAGATTAATACAGCGGGTACTCATATGTAATGTACTCTCCCCTTTGTCGATAGATGTACAATTTACCTTCAACATAAGTAATGGAAGTTTTGAAAATTCAACCGACTTTTCTGGATTCGTGGTGACATACAACAGTCGGCAAGACCTCCAGTTTAGGTGAAGTGGTCAGCTTGCTCAACTAATTCACTCCGTAATTTGGAGGTCAGTAATGGGGTAATCTTTTGTGTTTGGACAGAGAGGATCTGTTGGAACCACTTGTATTTTACGGATGATGTGTTCTCCCATACAATGCTACACCATCTGAGTACTTCAAATAGATAAATGAGCTTTCAGAAAGATCAATCCCTAGAACTTTAGATCAAAATGACTGATAGGAAATATACGGTGGAATTAAATCATGCTAAGAAAAGTGTGCAGCCCTGCAAACACTATGGATTCAGTCGATTCCGGCTAGCTAGGCTATCTACTTGAGTAATGAGCATCCAGAAAGTAAACGTAACATTTTAGGACACACTTGAATAGAATGTTTGACCACAAACGAGGGCTGTTACGTAATGAAATTCGGGAAAGCTTGCATAAGGAACGAGAAGCCTGGTGATCGCAGCGCGACAAAAAGTTGAAAGCAGCAGCCGAATCTGGTAACTACCGGAAGCTCTTCCAACTCATCCGAACCACTAGCAGCAAGAAGTCTGATGTGAGCGAAACAATCTGTGAGGATGACGGAATGCCAATCACTAACATCCATCGACGTCTTGGGCGATGGGCAATTTTTCGAGGAGCAGTCCTACTGGTCTGCTGCTCCGACAACATCGATCAGACTGTACTGCCCTCCATGGCCGGAGACGACTGATCCACCAAATGAGGCGAGTCTACAAGGAACTCCAACTCTTGAAGCGCTACAAATCACCAGACGCAGATGATTTACCTCTAGCCCTTTTTAAAGATGGTGGTGACTTCCTGGTTAACGAAATGACATCGTTGTTTACAAACGTTTGGTAATTTGTGAGTGTCCCAACATCACGGAATAAATCGACAGTTGTCTCTACCTTTAAAAAGGGTTCATGTCGTTCCTGTAACAACTATCGGGGGATAAGTCTACTTCCGATTGCGTCCAAGCTATTGGCTTCTGTCATACTTCGTAAATTGTTCAAAACACGAGAAAGATTGACTCGCGAGGAGCAGGCTAGTTTTCGTTCTGGTCGAGGATGTATTGATCATATATTCACACTCCACCAAATGTTAGAACACCACCGTACTAATCAAAGGCCAACAATCGTAGTGTTTCTTGACATTAGGGCTGCCTTCGATTCGTTGGACAGGACTGTTCTCTGGGATTGTCTATTGAAGAAGGGTGTGCCTGAGAAGTTTATTAACATCCTAAAAGCCCTATATACAAACACCTCAGGTAGAGTGAGGGCAGTACGACTTCGCCCTCAGATCTTGAGTTGCTGCTTTTAGTCTTACTGTTCTACAATCGACCTGCCTGGCATGGTAGAACTTACAGGAACATATATTCCAGCCAATATAGCTCGGTTGGGTCATCACGATAGACAAGCCCGACCACCGCGTCAAGGTAGCAGCTACGGTCGGGTGTCACACTGAGTTCAAATAGACATATTGAGTGGCGATAATTTTTAGAAGAGACAAATGGTCAAACGATAATTTACCAAAGCAACTGACTGAGTTGTACACAAAACTTGAAATCAAAAGGTCAAATCTAATATGATGGTATATTATTTCGCCATTGCATTCCAAAAGTGTGATAACTTAAGCAATGAAAGGAACAAATTGGGACGGAAAGAATTCAGTAGTGGTAAACCTATCAGGCGAAATTAATAACACTGGTTCTGTATTCTTAAATGTTAAGTGATATTCGTGGACGACGAAGATTTCGCACTTTTCTGAAGTGTTTAAGTACATGTTGAGGCGAAATAACTGCTGACGGAAATATTAGGAGTGCAATTGCTTAAATAAGACAGGTGAATGAATACACATCACTACAGCTTGCTGCACGGCTTTAATGTTACTTGGATTCACTTTATTTTGTTTGATTTGCTGTAATTTTAAATGTACTACGAATGGATATATAGTAAGTGTTATCATTTTTATAGGTTATCTATGGCTATGATGTTATTACTAGAGTCTCGTAATGCCAATATTTCATTTAAGAGGCATATACCGGTTGATGATTTTTCGAAGCTTTTAATTTTTGCCAAAATCTGTGGGAACAGTTAATGTTATATTCCAGGTGAGCGACGGGCGAAGTTATTATTCAATGAAACTGTCCGAGTCAGAAAAAAATTAAGACTTCACAGCTACAAAATTAATACAGGTTAACTGCATTTATTCCACTGACGAAAGTCATGAATGCAGTTGCCGAGAAATTCAGTTTTAAAATAATGCGAACACAACTTACCCATGTAATGGCTTTGTCTTCTCCACCAAGTTTGAAACTACGTATAAAGCAGCCTAGTTTTGGATAAAAAAGATAAATTACCTTTTCGTATACAATGCCTTGTCAAGATAAAAAATATCAAAACATTATAGGACTCATGAGCTTTAACTAATAATTCATAAATAATAAATGCTTAATGTGATCCAAATGTACGATGCATGATTTTGTTTATCATCTTAGCTGAAGTCATATTTATTTTAAATTATGACATAAAGCCAAAGCAAACAAATTATACTGCTGTTTACTTAAAGACACAACATACTAAAATTTTTAATGAATTTTGAAGATTGCGAAGTTAGGTCTTACTATTGCTGGATATCGTTGACATTCCGCTAGGTCGATATGGATCAAAATCTGATTATTAGTAAAACTATGTTTTAAGCTCATTATCATCGAACAAACGGACAATAACACGCTACCGGTTCATCAATGAAAAACCAGCTAGAATGTACAATGAATTTGCACACCAGTGTACTACAAAATTTGAAAGACTCACTACTCAAAAGGAAAACCTCAGCAATAGGATTTACAAAACTATTTTAAAAGACTGTTGATACTATTCCATTTGTCAAATGAATTTTGGGGAAGTTAAAACAATCCATGAACGTCCGGTAGCGGCCAAAGGACATTTTGTTATTGATAATTATAGTATGAGCAGGCAACTGCAACTATACCTTTGATTGGGAAAATGTGAAAGTCTAGCAGTGCGTAGGCTTGGAAACTAGACAATTCTAAAAAGTATGGGATTCGGAGGGAATAGTTACCACTACTTACTTAGGTATAAATTCGGTTAGTAAATCACCTAAAAGAAGAAGGTAACTGGAAGTAGGTCAGTTACCCCAGTAACAAGTATATAAGAAAGGATTTCTAGGCCATTATTGATGATTCTGACACCGAAGTTTGAACGACTTGCCTACAGTTTCATAAGCGAACCTATTTTACTGTTCGTATTAGTAGCGTATAATTCGATCACTGATTCAAAATATCTTATCTCATTAGCGAGGCAACTTTGTATAGAACACATGGATGATATACTAGTTATATGTGATAAAGATTTTGAGGTATCCCAGTTATTAGATAAACTCAATGGGGTTCAAAACGAGGACGAATTCACAGGTTTATTGAAGCCTTGGTTATTTGTAACTTTAACCCCCCCCTTATGTGTACAGAAACAATTTGTCGTAACCCTGAATTTACCCTGGTAATCCTTAAGTCATTCTATGGCCTAGGATAACGCAACAATTTCGTATTCCTTCTATACGATGTAAAATTGTTTCTCTCCCCTTTGTTACCTTTTCTACTTGAACTTTCATTTAATTGACCCTTAGTAATTTTGATAAAAAATGCCCTGACAAGTATATGTGTGACCAGATTGTTCGAAATATATGGCGCAAATACATCACATTTTTCAATTCAACTCCGAAATTCTCATTGTTCTATCGGGATTTATGTAAGGGACAAATTGCTTTAAATATTTTCCAAAACTACCAGTTAGGAAAATCAGCAATCTACTCACGAACCATCAAAATGTGCAGATCACAGCTCTGTTGATTTCCTAGATAAATTCAATAAAATCCCTCAAAGACATTAGAAATTAAAAAGGCATGTTGATATGTGAGCTTTATCATGAAGTAAACAAACAGGAAATTGGAAATTTTATAAGTTCGCTAATTAGTAGTTCAGTTTGAATATTCTATGCGACTTACCTTGAACTAGAATCATTATTAGCCCAATAAAGCCGAACATTTTGCCTTGATCAGAGCTAGTAACGAAAATGAAATAAGATACAATAAGAGAACTCGTCAGAAAAATTAAAGTGGTATGTAAACATGCTGCACTAGCAAATAAATTTCAAAATGAAATTAATTTTATAAACAAGGACTTCACATTTAAGCAACAAATCCCAATACAACGGGTTAAAACACATTCAGCTAATTAAAATGCACTAATAAATAGCTTATTACCAATAAAGAAATAACTTTGAAACCAATAATGATTTTGCTGCTCCAGTCTTATTATTTATTTATTTCAACACATAAATATTGGTACAAGAGGTCACCATATATATATATATATATATATATATATATATATATATATATATATATATATATATATGCGCCACACCATATTTGTGTGTGTGGGCTGTGATACTGCCCGGGTGCCCAGACCGAAACAGTCTTAGCAATAACATTTATCTCATTCTAACCCTCAACTTCGCTTTTTTCCTACATTTAATCATCTAGGTATGAAGCAAGAGTTAAACGGTAGATTCATGTTCAGAAGCGTATCAAACATCAGGGCTATCAATATGATGCTAAATACTATTATATATATAAACCTGTGAAAAACCTTTGGAAATTGGAGCTTATTTAAAATATACGGAATAAACTCAACACAATAAATCAATAGATATAAGCAAACGGTAATTTTTCGATTTTGATGCAAATGATTAACTGTTCACCTACAAACTGATGACTTTTCTCATCCTAAATAAACAAAAGACACGACCACCGTATACCAACAGTTATGTTTATAAGAATGAGAGGATTCCTATACGAAACTAACTGACCTTGAGAAATTAAAGCGGATTCTAGCCAAAAACAGTATTGTATATTCAATTCCGCAGTATACGCACAAGTAGCAGCACCAAAAGTATGCCAAATGACGCAAAGATTTTTCATCTACATTAGGAAAATACGGGTTAGTGTTTAATTTTACGAACTGACTATTGCATAAGGGCAATTACTAAACAGATAAGCCCCAGAAAAAAAAAACACAGTTGAATAACAAAATAAACTCACATTTAGGACATTTCGTTGTGCCAGTTAGTGAAAACAACTTCACCGGATTTATCAAACGTACTGCTTGGTTGATTAATAGACCGATATCTCCGCCCTGAAAAAATGGAAATAAACAGAGACATTTTAACCCTTTACATGGCATTTTATGAACTTCAATTCTACTAAAGTTGGTCGAACTCTTTTTTTAACTTTAATATTAATATAGTTTAGTATAACTACGAAAAAAACACAAAGACACTACTTACGCCTGTTACCCCTCATGGAGAAGTATAGGCCGCCCACTGGTACTCCCCATCCAGCTCTGTCCTGGGCAGTCCTTTTCATATCTGCTCCCAATTGCCGACACAATGTGTTCCGTGATCATCCTCTTTTCCGTTTCCCTTCAGAGTTCCAAGTTATCGTTCGCCTTGTGATGCAGTTTGATGATTTCCACTATGTATTGTCCTATCCACTTGATGCGTCGTTGCCTTTTTGGCGTTTCTGCCTACGATCCCACTGACTGCAGCTCGGATGAAGTGAAACATGAATTTTACAGAAAGCTCTTTGAACTTCAGAAAACTAAACGTTCAGACAGTACTCGTAGCAGGTGACTGACTGGTCATAATCACTGATTTTCCCAATATGTAAGAGGTCAAAATCATCCTGTGATAACCATAGAGGGATTAGTTTGACTAATATAGCATCTAAAACAATAGCCTCGATAATTATCGAACGCCTAACTAAGACTCGTGAACTGCAAATACGAGAAAATCAGTTTGGCTTCAGACCTGATCGTGGCTACATCGACCACATATTCACTATTCTTCAGGTTTCAGAACACAGGTATGCTTACCGGGGTTCGACAATGGTGGTCTTTCTTGACTTAAAAGCAGCACTTGACTTTTTAGACCCAGAGGTTCTGTGGCTGTGTCTGTCATTGAAAGGCGTACCTCAGAAGTATATAAACCTTGTGAAGGCTCTCTACTCGAGCACTACTAGTCGAGTCAGAGCTTATGGCAAACTGTCATCTGATTTTGCAACCCTAAGTGGTGTCCACTATCTCCATTTTTGTTTAATTTCATTACAGACCTGCTGCTAGAAATAACCTTTTCATCGACTGAACTTTCAGAAGTAATCTCCTTCCACGAGGTTCACTTATCGACTTGGAATATGCAGATGACATAGTCCTGTTTGGTGAAGACACTGATAAAATGCAGTGTCTTTGGTAACACTGAGTGGCAATGCCAGAATCTTTGGAATGCGCTTCTCTCCCTCTAAATGCAAGTTGTTGCTTCAGGACTGGCCTGCGTCAACACCTGAACTAAAGATAGGGAGTGAAGTAGTCGAACGTGTTGATAGATTCACTTATCTTGGAAGTATGATCATCCCTAATGGGTTGGTGTTTGACGAAATCTCAGCACGGATTCGAAAGGCTCGCTTGGCTTTTGCCAACTATGGAAAAGGCGAGATGTCAGTCCATCAATAAAAGGACGAGTATACCTCGCGGAAGTTCGTTCTGTTTTACTTTACGGCTGCGAAACGAGGCCATTAAGAGTTGAAGATATTCGTAAGTTGCTAGTATTTGACCACAGATGCCTTAGGAATATTGCTGAGATCACCAGGTGAGTAATATTGAGGTTAGGCCCAGGGTATTAGAGAATGATGGTAAATCCGTTAATGAGGTTGTGAATCTTCATGGACTGAGACGGTTGGGCCACGTGTTGCGTATGCCTGGACATCGATTACCACGACATGCAATGGTAACCGGTGTTGGGGATTATTGGAAGAAAGTTATGGGTGGTCAAATCAAAACGTGGCATCAGTGCTTGAAGTCACTAACTTATGGTCTGAGCCATGTTGGTAGATGCAGACTACTTGGTTGGGGTCCGCGTGACTATCGTAACCAATGGTTAGAGATGCTGAATGACATGGCTTAGAATCGATCACAATGGCATAGGAGTATACACTTTGTTTTCCCTTAAACTATGAGATTAAAATAGCTTCATATCTTTCTTTCTACGTACTAAATCTTTGTTCCTCTAATATACCTTTATATGCAATCTTTCTTTTATATATTACCACCATTGACATAACTACTTCTATGAATCCGGTGTTCATCTTGCTGTGCTAATGTGGTATGGCAACTTGGACCGATGCATATATGTGCCTAGTCCTACGTTGTAGCTGACTGACTGAAGTCATAAAAGAGTGAGATATGTTCGGTTCGCATGCATAATCTGCATAAGCCTCAGTTTCAAGATATTTGTCTAAAGCATATCTACTGTTGCAAAGTAAAACTTTCGTAACCGACTAATTAGAATTACGGAGGACAAAATTATTAAAACATTAAGCTCAAAATTAAAAAATTGATGTTTACAAATGCGTCAGTTAAAGAATAATTTGCAGAAACGTGATATAACATAATGAAAAAACATACCTTTTGTAATGTACTCGGCAGAGCAAAAATCAAAATTAATAGATTTATACAATTAAGAAGCAAACACGTAGAACCCAATATACAGCTCAAGTATTCAGTCGATGTATGTACTTTCCACTGGTTAAGTAAGATAACTGAGCATGGTGGTCCTACAGTGAATCCGATACCATAAGCCAGGCCAACAACCGCCATTCCTTTAGTACGCAACGTATCACTGCTGATATCGCCAACAAGTGCTGATACAACACCGACATTTGCTCGTGCAGCACCACATAATACACGATACATCAGTAGCCACAGAAATGACTTACCCAACACTGACCAGAGAACATTAACAATTATAAGCGATACCTGTTGAGTGGAAAAAATGTAGCAAATAAATAATCATTATGTAAAACTAATTACATCGTACTTCAACACATGTTATCTAGTGGTGAGTAAATACTATTCCGCCTGTAGCTCTTCTAGAGTTACTGTCAGTCCCATGCACACACGAAATAGGAGGGTCGGGCATGAGATCGGCAACCCCATCCCGTAGATAACAACATTGCTATAAAAAAGCTAACTAGGTTAAACTAATTAAACCATTTAAAGTGTGCCCTCTGGGTTGAAGGATCGTCATGCAGAACAATTATGATGCCTCATGATGAAAGCCCAGATTTTTTGGTAGTCACGAGGTCGATGCACCTTCCAACAACCAGAACAAAAATCAATATGGGTACACAAAATGTCCGGACAATGTGGGGGACCGGGAGGACCAGTCAAACAGCTACAGAAATGAGGAGATACAATTTGGCAGTACTCGGACTCAGCGAAAACCATTGGACCCAAGCTGGACAGAAAAGAATGGATTCAGCAGAGATGCTGTTGTACCCTGCTCACGAAAAATAGAATGCTCCGAACTCACAGGGAGTCATTCTGAAGCTGTTCGAAAAGCACAAAGTGAACTTATAGGATGGGAATTTCACGGATACAGGATCAGCGAAGCATCATTCAAAGCAAAATAGAAGGGAATCACAATGAATGCTATCCAGTGTTATGCACCCACTGATGGTAGCAACGACGACAATAAAGATCAGTTTTATGAGGCTACAATCGATCACAGCGAAGCTGTCATTAAAGGACCTGACAATCCTGATGGAAGATCTAAACACCAAAGTTGGAATGAACAACAACGGTTATGAAGATATCATGGTACGACATGGATTAGGAGAAAGGAACGAAAATGGTGAGAGATTTACAAATCTATATGCTCTCGACAAAATGATTATAGGTGGTGCAATATTCCCCCACAAATTCATACACAAATGGGAAAAATAAATCAGGGAGAAGCGCTGGAAGTAGATAGGACACATATTGAGGAAAGCACCAAACTGCGTCACAAGGCAAGCCCTCACTTGAAATCCTGAAAGCCAAATGAGGAGGGGAAGACCAAAGTACACATTACGCCGAGAAATGGAGACAGACATGAGAAGAATGAACAACAATTGGGTAGAACAAGAAAGGAAGGCCCAGGTTAGAGTGGGCTGGAGAATGCTAGTCGGCGGCCTATGCTCCATTGGGAGTAACAGGCGTAAGTAAGTAAGCCTCAAGTGGATAGAACATACATTGTGAAGACCAAACTGCATCACGAAGCGAGCGCCAACTTGGGATCCGGAAGGGAACAAGAATAAAGGAAGACCAAGGAACAGATTGTGTCGGCAATTGGAAGCAGATATTAAAAGAATTGCACAGGAAAGAGTTGCATGGAAAATGCTGGTGGCAGCCAATTTTCCTCTACGAAGGATAACAGGCGTAAGGAAAGTAAGTGTGATTGACCGCTGAGTGTAGACAGACAGGCGTTCAGCCTAATGATTATTAAATATTTGATTTTCTTACCTCTTATTAATTTATACTCCGAACTAACCGAGAGTAACAGCATTCAATTTTGTGGAATAAAGTATTATCTAGTGTTAATCTGGCTCTTTGCTCTTGGCCGTGAGTCGGGTAGCTGGTGTAACGCGATCTAGCGGGTCGTTCGATTATTCAATCTAGTGGTATTGTGAACTCGGTAACTCAGATCAGTCTTATTACCGTGTTATCGTAGTATACTGAAGAAAGAGAAATATTTTATATCATTCGTCATTTCACTATTGAATATTTTGCACTTCAGTCATAATTAAAAGAATAGCCTTGAAGAGTTTGCGTTAAGAAAAGCCGGTAAGTCAGTGTAATTTACTTCACATTCACAACTTAATAGCAGTATTAAAGCACAATTAGTCAGCAACTGTTCCCACATTTCTACTATTGGAATCTTAACTACATTGATTTAGTTTGCCCTTAAATTATAGAATCATCCTTATCAACTAAAACATTTACGGATTTCTCTACCTACTCTACAATAGTAGTTATTTCCGATTGCACGCCAAGTATATTTTGCTAAAGTTAGTTTAACAGGATATGCTGATGCATCATAAACTGTGTTACGTTTCCACATTATACGCAAGTTGCACAACTGTTACTGACGTTTTCTAAGATGATGTCTTTATGCTACTCAGTAAAATTCTAGATGAAAACAGCCAAGTCATATATATGTATATATATATCACCACAAACCTGAAGGACAATTAAGACCGACTTTCTGCCAAAATAGTCTGATAAAGCTCCGGCTACAGGCGACGATACAAATTGCATCAAGGATGATAATGACGATAGAAGGCCTAAAATAAAAATATTGCTGCTAAACTGAGAAGCATACCTCCAATGAATACTCTGTCCCATGTAGAACCTTCTTGAAACCCCAGAAAAAAACCCAGGTGTTGGATATATTTTTTGGACAAAATATAAAACCATTCCTTTTGTAATATAGAAATAATGCAACTTACTTTTTCAGACTCGTATGTTTCTAAAAGAGAAGGCATCCATGGTAGGATCATACTCACAGTTACGACGTCGAGGAAGAGGAAAACAAAAATAACAAGCATGTTTTTTGAAACAGTCATCTTCAAAATAGTTGGAAACGCCGACTTACATGTACCTAATATTATTTAAAAATTAATTAAGAATATCTCATTTAGTTATTTATTCTCTAAAGAAGTGACTTACACTAAGTCACGAAACGTCAGAAAATCTCATTTTCTACCCATTGGGATATTACAAATATATTATTTTTATTTATAACAATCAACCCAATGCTCCATTTATTCGAAATTATCAAATCAAACCTCGGTAATGATACCCACAATATTTCATAATGTTGAATTTGGAAAAATTAGGTCAGTTTTGTACCAACAAAAACACCACGTAGCAGAACATAGAGCATGAAAGATAAGAAGCAATTTATTGTATCATAAGAAAATGAAATTGATCTAAAAAAGCAATTGTAGCATGCAATGTAATACAGAAACTAATTCCAAGCGGTTAGGAATTTATCATTACTGTTAAACTTGGCAGCACATATGTCGAAGAAAAATAAGAAGCTACATAAGTGATAATGGCGTTAATCACTTAAGCATGTGTTTTCATCTATCTGTAACCCAGGGTATATCATCAAAGGACTGGAATAACACCATAATAAGTCCTGTCTTCAGAAAACACCTGAGAACAATCAGCCCGTAAGCCTAACCAGCGTGGTTGTTAAGGTTCATGAAAAGGCCATTCGGAAAAACATAAACAAGTATCCAGACGAAAACTGATTATTTCTGAAAGCAGTGACGTTATAAAACAGGTTATTTATGCTTCATGAAACTATTAGTAGCTCGAGAAAGCTGTTCTCTTACAGATAAAAAGTTAACTATGGATGTGGCTTTCATCAACTTCAGTGAGGCCCTTGACAAAGTTCCAGGTAACATACTGTTGTCTAAGTCGTGATATCGGGATTGAAGTTAAACCGCTTATGTGGATAAACGATTTTCTGGTTAGGCGTCAACTAAAGTGTATGAGTTGACTCTAAGCTGTCTAGCTACAAAACTCTGTTTAGTGGAGTGTCCCAAAGTACTGCTTTGGGGCCAGTGTTATTCGTCTTATATGCAAACAACCTACTTTATCGCCAATCACCATCGGTTCACTTATATGCCGACGATATTAAGGTATGGAGAAAGATGGAAAGTATAGGTGGTACTTCGGAGCTTCAAAATGACCTGCAGAAAGTATCTGAATGGTCTAGAATTTAACCGCTACCGATAAGTGCTTCAAAATGTACTACGTTGTATATTGGTCACCAAGGTAAGGACACATAAACGGTGAATGATATCTATCTACCTGTTGTTCAGACACACTGATTTAAGAGTCATTATCAGTCAAGTCGCGAAAACTGCCAAAAATTTCAGAATCCCCTGGTCGATAAGTAGAGCTTTTGGTCACGTATATGATAAAACCTTCGACTTCACACATAGTATTCGTTCGTCCTAAATTCAACAATTGCATGCGAGCAGTCAGCTCAAGCCTGAAAAAGACAATGGGTAGTTGAAAAATGCTCAAAGAACCACAATTTAATTCTCAGAATCGCAGAGCTACCGTATGGCGAGAAACTAGCTAAACTAAACCTATTCCGCTTGTCATATAGGAAGGCTAGATGTGACTTGGCTACAATTCTTAAACTGTCTAATAATAATTTCGCATCTCATAGGGTCTCATTTTGATTGGCTCTCGAAACAGAAGATTTATGATGAGTTCACAAGACCATAACAAACTACATATCTATGAACTGCTGAATTCCTCAACGAATCAATAAAACTGAAACTCCTTAACTTGACAGTCGACTTAAGCTCCATTGGTCGATTTTTTAATAGAACGTTGGTTCAGCCAAGGGACCCTATTTTTAGAAGTAACGAGTGTTCAGGCCTCCTGTCCTTCTCGAAATGAAGCTAAACATAGAAGATGAAATATCTAGATCCCTGAACTTACACGATTCGAAGGCTTAATAACACCATTCTACGCTAATCTCAAGCTTGTGTATGATTAATTAGTTCACACGAAAAATAACAGTACATGGTTGTATTGTGCCTCATTCGAGCGACTAATAAAGATTCTCATATGAACATTTTCAAACTATCTGGAAATCTGAATGGTCCGAATCATATGTTTCTGACGCCATAAAAGCATCTTTCAAGCAGTCAAATGCAGTTCATAAACCTATGAAGTCATATATGCGATGCATCAAGTCAGATGTTACTCGGTGATACAAATTCCTCCATATTGCCAGCATATGTGACTTGTAAGCTATCCAAAAACGACAGTTAGTTAGGTAATATTGTAGGCTTAAAATATTTCACTAATTCGGTCTTTATACGCCTAATCATATCTTATCCCATGATTAGAATTTCTGCAAAAACACCAACAGAATACCGACCAATCTCACTATCTTTGGAAAATTCTGAGGAACTTTGAGTAAGTTTTGGGGTTTCTCTGTAGTTTTAAAAAATGTGATAGTTTCTCCGAAGTTTGGGGGAATTTTAGGAAAAAACCTGTAGTGCGATAAGATTCTGGGGAAATCTTGGGGTTTTTGTGTTAGTTCCCCAAAGTTTTCTGTAGCGGTCTCCTCACAATTTACTCAAACAGGACATCTTCCCTAAAATATGGAGATATCTCCCAATATTGGGTGAGAATGGTTGGAGACTGAACCGTGTAACCCATTATTGGGTACCATCTTTACTGGTGAAGGGTTATTCGCAGAAACAAGATATCAACAAAAACACGAACTGAAAAACCACTACAGATCAGCAGACACTTATAAACAAGATTTTAAATAACTTACAGCTACCGGCCTTCAGATGTGCTGACCTTGATGCCTTTATCTTTTAAACTTTGGTTGAATTATACAACTACTAGTTCCTGAAGTAAACTGACAGCCTCTTGTTGAACGATTGAATGAGATTTACCGCTTTTCAATTCTTGTGGGGAGTTCTATTTGCACTGACACTTAATTGTCGTATTGTATCATTTGTGCCAATTAATAATTCCCTTGTAACTGTTTCCGTGTCTTGTTTAAAATTCTAAAATGCAATAACTCAAAGTGTTTACACTGATTTATTTCTAGCTTTAGTATCTGCCCATTTTTGCCTCTTGAAGTACGAAGTAAACGCTTCCAGGATTTCCTAGTTCGTACGCCAAATTCAACTATTTCCAATGATCATTCATGTCCTTTCAAATGCTTCTGTACTGTCTTTTTCAGAATTAAGAGCCTCTTAGTGAGGTGAGTAGATTAGGAGCTGTATCTTTTGTGTGGTTAGGTATAATAATGTAAGAAGTCTTCACTAAACACTGAAAACAGTTTTTCGTAGTTCGAGTCGAATTATCTGATAACCTAGGAAGAAACACTTAGACACAAAATGCACCGTTAGTTACAGAATGCTGATGGGAAGAAACATACAGTAAGACGGTGTGTGATACTGAGACAGCTTTTGTGATATAGACGGTGTCGCTTAAGTTGTTAACAAATCCTTAGAATAAATTTAGTTGCAAGTCTTCGATGGCTACGATGGTCGCACAAGTTATAATGGACACACCCCTAGATTTAGGCATCCAGTCAACTATTTGCGCCGAAATCACGTTTGGATCACCAATGAAAATGTCGTGAATACCCAGCATTCGGAAAAATACCGTTTGAAATTCCTTCTTACAAAATCACCTCGAAGCCAGGCAAAACATAGGTAACTATTGAAGGAAGTAGGAGATATATTTGAACGACGTGACAAAGTGTATGCCAACTTCAAATTCTGCAACGCACCGTCGATTAATGCACCTAAAGCGTATAAAAAGAATATCAAGGAAATGTAATTTCAATTCTGGTACCAAAATTTATTTGTAATTCATTAATAATCACCTTAGATACATCTGTTTTCATTTTTTAATGTTCCAGCGGCCGGTGAAGCTGATTTTCTTGGTTCTTTTACTCTCTAATTGACCTTTCTATTGTAATGGGACTCTAAAGAATGAACGTTCAATTTAATAAGGCTCAAGTGAGTCCGTAAAATAAGAGCGCATGACAACCGCCACCAGATAGTAGTGGCGCTTTGCTTTGAGTATTTTCCTAGTGTAACGTATACACATGTCTACAATACTTAACGTCCTACAATTTATTTTGTAACCCTTCTTTTGTCTATTTATTGTAATTGATTTCACGTCAGCAGGTTCTTCACTGGAAACAATAGATGAGTTCAGATTTAGAAGATTATAAGGCCACCAATTTACTTGTTTCAGTTATAATTATTTCGAGCGAAATCGAATTTTTAGTGTATTAGAGATTGGGAGGGTTGGAATTTGTTATTTGACTTCTAATGTTGCAATTCGCTGCCAACTGAACTAATCCAAGCGTCTTCCCAGGAATCCATTAAGAGAAAACTTGACCTATTCTCAAGGACTACGGTTTACATCTTATTATGAGTTACCAATTTCTTTTTTTCTGATATATAGGAAGCCCACTGTGGTCAATGAGTATGACAGTCGAATCCTGAAAGGATTACCCCGTTCTACGCGTCTCGGTTTCACTCATAACGTGATTCTAGGGGACTTCAATCTCCCTAGAGTCAATTTCGTGGAACATACGTATATTGGAGGTGAAAACTCAAATGAAGCTCGGTTCTTCAACCTCATTGAAGACTTGGGATTATACGAAAATATGAAGTCGGCAACTCGTTGAAGAAAAATTCAGATTCCGTCACGCTTAGACTAGGTATTTACAAACAATGAATTTTTAGTTGACAACCTTTCAATCCTGGCAATTCTGGGGAAAATCGATCACGCCGTCATAGCCTACAGTTTTATCAGCAAAACTGATCTTAGACATCCCACCAACAACAGGCGGTGGGATTATAAACGGTTGGATGTGTCAGCTTTACAGGGCTACCTACAACAGGTGGATTGGGATGTTCACCCTCAACTCGATGTGGATGCTCATCAGGACTTCTTACTGCACACGCTCTTATGTGTTAAAAAGCAGTAGGTTCCTCAAACGGTCCCCAAAATCTACAAGCAACCTAAAACCATCAAGAACCGCACTTTCCGCCTGCTAAGCCGCAAGAGGCACTGTTGGGCAGAGTACAAGCGAACAGACAACAACGGTGCGTACATGCAGTACAAACATATAAGGAACATATGCACGAAGGCTATAAGAGAAGATAGGCTTCAATACCAGTTAAAGCTTACAGATAAATTTGTCTCCAATCCGAATAGCTTATTCCGTTATGCAGCCTCTCTTCGTAAAGCCAAAACTAGAGTTTCCCAACTGCTAGGTCCTAATGGCCCGACCAATAACGACGGTCATGCCGTTAACCTTTTGGTTGAACAATACTCTCGAACATTTCAACCAACCCACGTTACCTATGCTGATCAAAGCTTCATCTGCAACTGCACAGGACATTCCGAAGTGATCATGAGCGCTTGCCTGGTATATTAGAAACTGCAGCACCGAAGAAAAGAAACTTCTCTTGGCCCAGGTATGGTTCATTCTGCTATAGCGTGATGTTCTCACACTCACTAAGGCGTGGCAAAATATCGGAAAATTGGAAGCTGAGTCACATCACACCAACTTTTAAAGGAGGTCGACTCAGCGAACCTTCAAGCTACCAACCAGTGGCTCGTCTCTCTGTACCTTCAGAAATCATGGAGTCCCTGATTTGCGATTGTATAGATGACTATTTACTATCCTTAAATTTCTTCTCATATCAACAGCATGGTATCAGGTAGGGTAACTCTCGTATAATCAACCTGCTGACTGTGGCGGCTCACTTCGTATCCAAAAATTGACATTTATAAGTCAGGGTTAGCTTCACTTCCTTTCAGGCCATGGAATGTCTTGATGGGGTCCTCCACTGTTTAGTACTAGGACCTCTTCTCTTCTTGATTTATATAAATGATCTTCCACAGCAGGTATCGTCTGACTTATTAATTTTCTCTGATGACGTGAAACTTTGGAGAGACATACGCATGCAAGACGATATACAGGCACTTCAGGTTGATCTGATTCTACTTCAAAGTTCGGCAGACAATAACGGACTTACCTTTAACACTTCAAAGTGTAAAGCGGTCCATCTGAGACATGTCTCAGACTACAGTTACAACTTAGTAATCTCCTCTCTAGTAGTATCCCGAGTCGAAAAATATTTAGGAATCCTGGTGCCCAACGATTTAAAGTCTTACGCTAACTGTTCTAAAAGTGCCTTTCGAGCGAACCTTGCACTGGTAACATTGAAGCGCATTTTTGGCCAGTCCGATAGAAGAAATTTCCACACTATCTTCAATAGTTTTATTCGTCCTCATTTAGAGTTCGGAAACATGATATTTCCTACCTCACTCCAAATAGATGAGGACACTCTCTAGCGTATCCAACGGCGAACAACAAGGTCAGTTCGGGGACTTAGATTTAAGCCTTATGAAGGGCGCCTCCAATCACTAAACCCAATAAAGTATAGGCGTCTTAGTGGTGACCTCCTGATGGCTTACAGTAACTTTAAAACTTCCGAACATCCCATTGAACACCTACTTAAGCTTAGTCCCAATAAAAACATAAGGGGTAACACCCAGAAATTGGAGAAACAATTTAGCTGAACGGACTATAGACACAACTTCTATTCCTTAAGAGTAGAGTTCACTGCCGACTGAACTAGTCCAGGCGACTTTCCAGGAGTCCTTTAAGAGGAAACCTGACCTATTCTTAAGGACTACGGATAACATTTTATTATGAGTTACCAACTTCTTTTTTCTAATATATTATAGTTAATATACCTAGGTTCCTGCCTGGAGGTATTGGTGATCCCCTGCTACTAGACACTGAAGCCTGTTAAGCAAAAGCTTCTTCTATTCCGTCCACAACCATTTGAACCAGTTTGACTTTTAATGCTTACCTCTGTTGATGTAAAACCCTCATTGAACTGCTGGAGAAACAGTGGTTATGTTTCAGCTGTGCGCTACACTTACTCATGTTCGCTGACTGTGATACGTCTGTGTACTTGTAGGCGCATAAATGTCAGATACCATGATATCAGCTAAATCGGTTGTTGATGTTTTTCCTCTCGGATGTCAGTACTTATTGGAGTTTTGTCATAAAGATAGTATACTCAATAGATCAAGCACTTTATCAAGTGACCAGGTAAGTGTTTTGGTGTTCACAACACTTATTTTAAAGCCTTCTGATTTCTGGAGAACTTGGGAGTCTGGTGGACTATTCGATGAGCTCTATATCTCTCAAAATACTATCGTATGGAGCTGTGGGACAGAAACAGCTTGTTCCTTTCCGAAGCTTGTACTCAATTTCGATACTCCGGTCATAGACGCGTTCAAATCTTCATTTTTTCTACCTGCTCTTCATTCTGGTCAGGGATTTTTGGTGAGTTGTGCTAGTAAAGTTAACATAAATGGAACATCCAGGGAATGGAAGTTCGGCATATACGTTCTTATATACCTACATATGTGATTTGACGTTTTCCTTATTTGTCCATTCATTCATTCATAATAGATTTGAAATTCCTTCGAAAAGGCCAAAAGATTGCAAAACAGGATAGAGTAGAGGCATTAATACCTCACAAATAGTTGTATCATGCCTTTATTAAACCTTGTAGCGACAAAGTGCCAGACAGTGTTTACTGAAGGGGAATTATTCGTGAAATTACTGGTAGATACGGTTTTTATTTGGTCTTGGACACTAGAAGAATGAGATCTATCCTGATGTTGAACACATAACCTTGTGCTCAGTTTGTGAGTTGCAGTACATGTCAGTCATTTATAAGCGTATTAGATCCACACCACCATGTCTGACTGTTAGCTGACACAACGAAGAAAAAGTGACGCAAGTCAAGGAAGTGAAAACAATAGAAAGCCTCAAAAGAAAGATAGATCATCAGTAGTCTGGCAGTGCCAGTGAACAAAACTAGAGAATGAGGTGTACCAAACAATATTTAAACTTGTAATTTCCCGCTATCTATTCAAATCAACTGTATATAACCTCACAGAAACTCTGTAACAATTAACCCAAAATAATGGTTGTAATGACTGCAACAGATCAGGTTGTATGTTCATCTTAAAATAGCAACTAAAGACTATTGTAGTTCATAACCGTCCTATCAACTTCTTGTTCTCGATCAAGTTTGCAGAGGTTGGGTTGTTTTATGTACTACAAACCTATCTGTATTTTGCAATGAAATTCACACAACTGATCTTAAGTGTGTATCACGACACCAACTGGTGCGATTGCTATTCAACGCAGGTTGTCCAAATTAATACAAGGGAAGAAGTGCAGAAATATCATTATTTACTCAGTCAGTCAGTCACCTACAATGTAGGACCAGGCACATATGTACATCGGTCCAGGTTGCCATACCTCATTAGCACAGCAAGATGAACACCGGCTTCATAGGAGTGGTTAGGTCAAAGGTGGTAATATATAGGAGAAAGATTGCAATAAGGATATACTTTAGGAAGAAAGAATTAGTTAGTAGAAAGAAATCTTAATCGTAACGTTAATTTTCAGATTTATCCACTTGGTATTGTTTTACTTGAATCTTCCCATCGATGTTTAGTACTGCAGTTGATGAGTCTCGCATTGACATATATGTATACTGTGCGTATTGCTTCGATATTGCCTTAATTTATAAGAATTACAGGCAAACATGGATAGTGGCTAGTAGTGGAATTCAGGACGCGCGTTTTCGTCCTGGCTTCCACTGCTAGCCATTATCCATCTTTGTTAATTTTCAGAATTTATCGATTTCACGGACTTTCATCTAGTGACTTGGAATATGTAAGTAATTTTATGTTCTGATCCTAAATGGACGTAAAAATAGTGTTAATAGGTTTCCTCCCTTACTAAGTGTTTTGTATCTATAGTACAGTGAATTATAATCAGTTTCTTTTGATACACTTGATTTGTAGCCTCATGTAAACGAGAATATACCTGGACGAATTCAAGAAGGATTGTCTATTTTTGAGTCGGAACGTATGACTTTTATTGATGATTCGGGAGAACAATACACAGTACGGATTCCATGTCGTATAAGAGAGGTTTGGGCTCTGAATACTCTTGTACTTCTTGAACGTCAGCCAAATAATTATGAAGTCAGGTCCGAAAATCCTAACACAACACCTACGAGTTCATGTGCATTGTTTTCAATGTTCAGCCTCACACACCCACTTGATGAAGCTGCTCCTGTTATCTTAAAAGTTCCTTTACCTAATGGAGGCTTTGGAATAGGTTTCGTCAGTGATGTACATTTAAAAATAATCGGTGTTATTGCACCGCTTAATATGGTTATAACATATCACTCCTTAACCAGGTTACATTCTGTTTGGCTTTTAGAGAAGGCCTCGTCACATGTAAGTACTGTAATAACTATTTTACTTGCATATTAAAAAAAAGATTTTACATTGACATGTCGGCATAGCTGAATTATTGTACAATATCTTTAGTTTGTTTTGCACTATTTTTAGGTAGATGTCACTCATTCAAAAAATTAGTAGACTGGTAATTATAATTTACAGTAATTACTGCGCACTTTTAGAAGCCACTAGTTATTATGACCTGTTATGTGCTAGAAACTTGGAAAAATAAAATGTGCTTGATTTTAATGATATATGTTAGCTATTGAAATAACAATTAGTTTGAGGATGTCGTTGAGGATCTAAGGCGAACTTGATGGTTTACAGTGGTTAAATTTTACCCACATTAGCTACTTTGTCTTGGGTAGCATAATCATATGTTCAGATCAAAATACTTTGTGCCTTCATGAAGGATCATTCAGTAGGACAGAAATTGTATTTAATCAGCAATGTAACATCTATTTCATACTTTTTTATCACTGATAGATATCATTTATGATAGTCTTTAGTCTGAAATTATTTTCCTTTTAGTTCTTCATAAACATTTTCTCTACAATCTCTATTTGCCTTTATCTTATTGACTGCTCACGATTTCACCTAAAATTGAAATCAACTTATTCATGTACTTCTGAGTAATATGATATTTTAAGATTATTATTTTACACGAGTAGATAAAAACTAAAGGTTGATTATAACACATAAAGCTAAATTACACATACAGTAATAATTTTTGATATCATGTAGTGGTGGTGGGAGGGGAGTTGTCAAAATATTACCCCAAAATTATGTTTCGGTTCGTAAAGTGGGTATGACTAATATGTCAAAATGTTTGTCTTTTGTTTAGGACTACATATATTTGTATCAAATGGATCCTGATGGCCGTGCCAGTGTGGCTACACATGCGTTGACTGGTCTGGTTTATCAACCTGAATCTGTGAAGCATGTTAAAAGTTTTGATAAGGATTTAAGTACTTTTGATGAACACTCCGTCCGATGTTCACTGAACTCTACCATTTGTTTGAGTCCTTTTGCCGCATCGTTATCACGTTTAACGAGAACTGAAAAGCAATCTTTTCGTCTGAATCACAGTGGCAATCGTCGATCTCCTGGTCAATCCTTGGTATGTTTCATTTTTCATGGTATATACTAGTTTCGTTGTTTTGTCATTAGCTTCATTTATGGTAACAAGTTCTACAATTGTAACAGTGGTGTCGCGATAGATGTTACTTATATCGGCTCCTATTAATTTCGGCTAACTGGTGTTGACCAAACTAGCCTAATTCATTCACAGAGTGCGAAATCATATAATTGGCATTGAGTTGGATTATTTTTACATGTCGAGACCAATGCTGCTATTCGGCTTCCCAGCGGAAGTAGGTTCGTGCTCAAGTATCTATTGTGCATCATATTAGTATTGTGCTAAACTATAAAAAGTAGGTTTGGTAAATTTTACACGACACTAAATTATACCATTTTACCTAAATACTTATTTAATTTTAAATGAAAAATCGGTCTATAAGTCACTTTTGCTCAAATGCCTTGTCCTACATATATACTACTAGAACCGTAAACGCGATACTAGCGAGCATAGAGCTTATGTGAAAGCTATAGTCAGAACACGGAAAACTTGGCTTTAAACTTCATATGGTTAGCAGTATTGAACCATAAGTGTCATAGAAACATTATTATTATTATTATTATTATTATTATTATTATTATTATTATTTGAACACAGATATTGGTACAAGGAGGCACTAAATACATATGCGCCACACATATCTCATTTGATATGTGTGAGGGCTGTGATACTGCCCGGGTGCCCAATCCGAAGCAGGTGGTTTCCTTAGGGGGCCACACTCGGAGCCTTCAACCTGAAGGTCTGATCCACAACGCAGTGGAGCGTCGTAACGAGATGCAGTCCCATGGTAGCGGGTGACCAACACTAGTTTCATACGCTATTTATTCCTTCAGGATTCTGCAGTTCATGTGCACCACTGGTTTGGGATCAGGGTTTTCCAACTCCCCTAGGTAAACTTTCCATGTCCACCAAACCGGTTAAAGCACCGGACATTCGCTTTTCGTCCTCTTAGTTTCGTAAACAACACTCCAGCCACAAGAAGGCAGTGGGTAGGACTTCCCTGGAAGAGGCTATATACGCGTGACCATGTTGGAGCATTTCGAGAGGGTGAGCGGACTCTCCTCACTCTCGGCCGTACCAGGGCATTTGGGGGCCATAGAAACATTACTAGTATATATGGGGACTACCGGGTGAGTAATGATGATATCATGTGCAGAGTAGTGAGGAAAGATAGCGAATTATTTAGTGAGGCTCCAAGTATTCATCGATTGGGGTAGTTATGATGTGTTCCTTATATCCAATTACTGCCTACCTGGACTTACGATTTTGGCTTATTTATGAGTAACTTGGAAGAAAACCAGGAGGCCAAATCAAGACATAAAATCCATGCGTGAAATTAGTGACTGTCTGAGGTGTGTTGTTGGTTAATGAAAACTGTGTGATAACTGAAACCAGTAGATAGTGAAGGCTAAATGGGTTCAAAATCGTTCTCAAAGGTGTAGATACATCCACTCTTATTCCTTTGTTCGTCTTGATCTCCAACATTATTTCTTACTTTTTATTCCTTAGGCCCATTTCTTTTTTGAGCTTCATTCATCAATCTTTCATCTTTCCTACTAAGATTGGTACTACTGTTGTTTCGACTCACTTATTCCTTTTTTAATTCCATCTCTCTGTGCAAATAAAGTATAACAGCTTGTGCTTATGTACATTTATCCCATATTTTACGCTATCTCGGTCGACTTAACTATATTAGCCACAAGTTTATTGATTCTGTTTTTCCAACTAATTGTTTTGTGTACATTCTGCTTCTTGTTGTTTGTCTAGTCTGCTCCTTTTACGCCTACGAATCTCGATTCTTACATCAGCCGTCTCTCTAATGTCACACCTAACAACTTGAGCCATCTGCAATGTACAGCCAACAGTCCATCGGGTTTTCTCTTAAGAAGGGGATCTCTTGTACAAGCACAGCAGGCAGGAAATAATTGTACACCCAAACCAGTAGGTAGCATTCAAACTCCGAAGCACAACTTAATCAACATAACTACACTACATGGACGACTGTGAGTTTACATGATTCCTTCATGACGTTTTAATTTCGTAATTTTGTGTTATATTTTGTTTTTTTTTCTAGCAACTGTAGATCGCAAGTATGACAACAAATGTGGGTCTTTTAAGCGCGAAGTTTTATTAAAATTAGGCGACTAACATCCGACTCTAAAGGATGTTGGCGAATTTTTGATCTGGGTGCTGACTGAACTGTTAGGCAAAGTGTTGTATAGTTCTAGAAGAAGGTTATTATTGTACACCTCAAGAATGACCTACATAATGCATATAATAACTATGGGTATAAACTAGTTGCTGATCACATCTGAAATGCCAGCTTTTTTCATACCCTTCAAAACAAGCAAAACTTCTAAAATTCTGACTCGCCAGTAACGGACCAATTTTTCTTCAATTCGTGGATTCGTTGACTTCATTTCCACCCTTCATCAAATGCATGTACATCTTATTGCATTCTTAAATCAACAGTTGTTGTACTTTTTGATATCAGGATTGCTTTGAGTTTGTTGCACAGGGCTGCTGTGGTGTTTTTTGTTAAAAGCAATTTTCCGGAGAATTTATTAAGATTTTGATTGGTTGCTACTTCAAATTGAAAGTAGTTTGTTTTGGTTGTATTTTACGTGAACTATATTTTTTAATAAACACTTCGTGTTTCCTTAATTACATGATTTTTATTTTACTTGTCACGTTTAGCTCTTCTACGAGGCCCAATATTTATTCTTCTAATCTGCATGAAACTCCTGTTCGAACTGAAAAACTCTACACTATTGATCCCGATCAGGTTGAAAATTTACTGGATGAGCCACTGCTCCCGAAAGTTTGTTTGCGTCTGGTATGGTCAGAGACTCCTTCAGCACGATCGCATAGCACACTAACTAACACTGGTTTTTTCAGTCCATTAAATAATGAATCCAGTCACAAAAAAGAAAACGTTAGTAATTTTGTTCCTTGTAAGTAAATGCATTGTACTATTTTTTAAATGTGGAAATTTGTCTTTTTACTAGTTTGTTTATGAAACTGCCATATTGATACTTTTCTATGAATAGCAAGTAGAATCATAAGTAAAATGACAAAATTTGTTTCTGATTATTAATCTCTAACCAAGAGGGTTTTCTTGATGTCTTTAGGTTACTATACCTCTTGTTAAACAAAATGCTCTTTTTTGTCGCCTTCATCCGAATAACTTCACCTGGGCTACAAGTAAAATAGTTGGTATCCTTAACTTGGATTAAGCTCCATTGATTTTACAGCGAATGTAGTGAAATATGAAACACGTATTTTCAGGATACAAGTAGCGTTATTTTGTGCATTTAAGCGTAACAGTTATATAATTTTATTACGAATTGATTGTATTTTATTCTTATAGACGTCTCTGATCTACCGGCTTCCGGTCGATTCGCTTTGCTAAGTCGTCGTCTACCAAATTTACCTTTTCCAGCGTCTAGAGCTGAATCAATTATTTTTAATAGTCCTAGTACTACGAAAAGCAAAGCTCTTTCTGGTAACTTATGTAACTCGTAAGTTATTATTCTACACTAAATGTCACATGTTTACGTATATATGTATATATAATGCAACTATATTTTGTCTCCTGTGATTTATCAGGTTTTGAATTTGAAGTGTGTTCATTTCACTTTTGATGATTGCTTATTTATGTCCGACCCAATCACTTCGGTGAAATTTTGGAGGCTACAAAATGTTTTAATGAATTTTAGAGTTGTGATAACTATTGTATTAGTGACATGGTTTTTGCAAAAAGTGTAATTGTCTTGGTTAGCATTGTCATAAATACTGTTAACATGTACCTAGGTATGGTTATTTACTTATTTATTACTCTTTATTTGAACACAAATATTAGTAAAAAGGTGTAAAAAATACATATGAACCACACACTAACAATGAGGATGTGAAGAAGCAGAGAGTGTAAAGTGCGTATAAGAAAAAAGAGACCAATAACGAACAGAAATTAGTGTACGAGAGTGGAATAATAATAATGGGAGAGGTAGTTCAGTTAGAAAAGGTACAACCAGTAAGAATTCTTCCAGTTAAAGAAGTTGCGTTCATCTTTTATGAAGAAAGTAAAATAGAGTGACAGTTGGATCGCCATTGGCTTCTATTCCGGGCCACAACTGATAACGTCTCAAGCTACTGTATTGGGCCGTTTGCCGGACACCAACCCGAATACCATGAAGGACCAACAGAAGTAAGTTCTGTACAGCTTTCTTTCATACCACGTCATACACTAACCACCTCCGATTTCTCCAATCAGTCCCAGCGTCGGCAAATATTGCACGACGTGGAATTCTCTGGGACGACATTTGTAAAACATGTCCAAGTCACCAAAGTCGGTGTTTCAAGATGGTGACACCCAGTGCATTATCGTCTATGTGCCCGAACACACGATGCCGAACCTCTGTATTATTAGCGTGGTGTTGCCACTGGATGTCAGCAATCCTTCGAAGACAACGATGATCGAACACAGAGAGTCGTCTAACATCCTCGACTCGGAGAGGCCAGGTTTCCCAAGCATAGAGCAAACCTACTCTCACCGATGCACTGTAGATCCGGCCTTTAACAGCCAAACTGACATCACGAAGGCGCTAAAGATGGCACATATTGGCATAAGCCGCTCTGGCTTTCATTATACGTGAATCGATCTCATCACTCACGCCACCACCAGCACTTATGCAACTACCGAGATACACGAACTCCTTGACCATGTCTATCCTCTCACTATCCAGGGTGAGTTCAGTGTCAAGATCCGTCCAGTCTTGTAAAAGTGTTCTGCACTTCGAAGGTTCACGGACACGAATTGCCAAGTGATTAAGTGCAGATTGCATGGCAACAGATCCTTGCTACCGTTACATACATCCATCAGAGCTGTTTCCAGAATGTCATCGACGTGACAGTTGAAGGGGAATGGTGAGACTTGGCAACCGTGACTAACCCCACTGCTTAAATGGAACAATGGAGAGAGGTGGTTGTATGCCCCCACTCTATCTGAGGTGTTTGTATATAGGGATTTTAGGATGTTAATAAACTTCTCAGGCACACCCTTCTACAATAGACAATCCCAGAGAACAGTCCTGTCCAACGAATCGAAGGCAGCCCTAATGTCAAGAAACACTACGATTGTTGGCCTTTGATTAGTACGGTGGTGTTCTAACATTTGGTGGAGTGTGAATATATGATCAATACATCCTCGACCAGAACGAAAACCAGCCTGCTCCTCGCGAGTCAATCTTTCTCGTGTTTTGAACAATTTACGAAGTATGACAGAAGCCAATAGTTTGGACGCAATCGGAAGTAGACTTATCCCCCGATAGTTGTTACAAGAACGACGTGAACCCTTTTTAAAGATAGAGACAACTGTCGATTCATTCCGTGATGTTGGGACACTCACAAATTACCAAACGTTTGTAAACAACGATGTCATTTCGTTAACCAGGAAGTCACCACCATCTTTAAAAAGGGCTAGGGGTAAATCATCTGCGTCTGGTGATTTGTAGCGCTTCAAGAGTTGGAGTTCCTTGTAGACTCGCTTCATTTGGTGGATCAGTCGTCTCCGGCCATGGAGGGCAGTACAGTCTGATCGGTGTTGTCGGAGCAGCAGACCAGTAGGACTGCTCCTCGAAAAATTGCCCATCGCCCAAGACGTCGATGGATGTTAGTGATTGGCATCCCATTATCCTCACAGATTGTTTCGCTCACATCAGACTTCTTGCTGCTATGTTGGAAGAGCTTCCGACCACCAGACTTCTCGGCCCATGCTCATGCTTTGCGATCTCTTTGGTTTGATTATTTTATATTGATGTACTTATCTCTTATTGTTTTATCAGGCAGTGGTATTCTTGCTTTGATTCTATTTAGTTACTTGTTCATAAGTTAAGTTAGTAATAATCTAAGCTTGAGAATTATCAGTTTTTATATTTCTATCAGTTCTCAGGCAGTACCAAAGGATAACAATGTAACTCTTCCACTACAAAAATCTGGTCCAGTGAAATCACGTGCATTTTTGGCCGTTGATATAATATCTACCTCGTGGATTTGTTTTCTTACCGGCACATCTATTTTGGATTGTAGACAGTCCAGATTAGCTTGCTTACGCATAAATGATAATTATATCGATTGTAAACAGCCTAAAGACTTCCCAACAGTTTTTGGTGATTTAGTTTATCTTCGAGCCTGTGATGCCGTGTATGTGCCTTATTCACGAATAACTATTTGTTTGGAACCGGGAGTTGGCATAGTTTTATACTCAGGAATAAAAAAGGTATTTGTTTGTCATCGATAATATTTTTTCTTGTTCCCAGTTTATTTTTATCAAGCAATCACAAATAGAGTATACTTCATCTTACGTTATTTGTAATGGTGCTTATCTAGTGAGAGAGTTGAAAATTGTTTTGAGGTATTTACTTAGTAAGTAGCATTTTTGGTGGACAACCATAATACATATTATGAATAAGAGTTTAAAAATTCTCCAGCGTTAGTTTCCATGAAACCATAAAGTGAGATTGTTTTGAATTGGTGTAGATGATATCTTGTTTGTTGGATAATGAATATACATTGGTAATTCTTAAATAATACACAGCGATACGATGTGGTCGACTAATAACTGCTTACAAAACTGGATAGTTGACTGGAAGCTTTAGTAAGCTGAACAAATATCTTGGCAATGAATCGACTTGTTTTCTAGGAGTTATATACATCTGGAAAATATTAACGCGAAAAATCTACATCAAAAGTCATTTAGACGTTAGCCACTCTAGGGTACGTGTTTCGTATGCGCTCAATCGCCAATGAAAATAAAACCCGATTACAAGATTTCATTCCTGTTCTATCATTATTTCGTTTCATTCGAAAAAACTCATTTTCTCTATGTGAAAGTAATCACAAGGGATAGGTTTTAAGAGGCGATTCCAGTTGGCAGTAGTAGTTCAATACACTGTTGACACCTATCAGTAGGTTGTACTTAAAGAACAGATGCTCCCTTGGGGTTTTAAAGTTTGGTGACTTTATTTTAACCGAACTATTCTTTTCTTTTTTTGTTCTTTGTGTGTGACAAACTAATGGGTTTATTTACTATTATAATATGATTTTACTAAAGAAGTAATTTACATTAACTTTGTTCTTGATACAGAGTTGTTTTTTGCCGCTGTCAAACTGTTGTATTACTTATTTCACTTCAGTGTTTTATATATCTAACATGTTATTAAAATAAACATAAGTCCCTTATTTTACTATGTCTTCAACCCTAACACATGTTGTTACGGAAATTACTTTTTATTTTATTTTTCATTTACCAGATTTGTTTACTTGGCTTAAGTCCACCTCCGCTTCTCAGCATGTACCTTGGCGTAGGTGGTCCACAAACTGTAAAATCAAGGTTGAGACATGCTGCGTCAATTGTTGAAGTACCCTTTATCGTGCGACCTGATCTCTTGAACACTGAACGATGGCATCAGAATACAGTTCATTCAGTGCTGTCTAAATGTATATCTGTTATGACTTCAAACCAAATGTTGATTGATCAGTCTTATACAGTTTCATCTGGATCAATTTCCAATAAAAAAACCTTTTGTTTTAGCGAACTCTCAAGTGATGTATGCATTTTAACTGTTTTTTGAAACTTTTAATATGTCTTTGTTTTTTTTTTAAGTCATAGGTATTATTCTCCTATTTTTGATCTTAGAGAAAAAAGCAAAGTGAATTTACTTCTAAACCTCTCTTTAATTGCCAACAGCCTGTAATATGCAGAGATGCATTCGATGTTGAACCGAATACATATGATATTTGATAAAGTTTAATCAATGGCAAAAATCTGAGAATAGGTATGAATATTGAGAAGGATAATTGTCTATTTGAAAGAAATTTGACAGAAGTTCCTTTAACAATGTTTCAAACAAATATTTTTGTGGGTCGTTCTTTTCGGGGACTTCATCTTAAAGTTGTGCAGTTATAAATACATAAATATTGTATTGAGATGTGTATAAAACCTCTGCATTTATCAATGTAAAAGCTGAAGGTTAGGTTACTTAATATATATATACGTCCTATGGTAGGATTAAAACACGAGTATCGAAAAAGTATTAATCTGATAATTAGTCCCTTTGTAACACAATTTTCAATCTCATTCGTTTGTATAGCTAGTAGCCGAACAGACTGAACCAATGTTTCCTATCTACTAATTACTCGAAAAGCAGGAACTTTCATTTATAAACCTGAATAAATAGTGAACAAATATCGTAGCAGAGTAACATGAATTCACTTCGTGAATTTTTTTTCAAACGCTTACAACCTAAAATCATAATATTAATCATTAAAACGAATCCAGTGTACATACTTTTTATCAGAAACGTTTCTAATAAGCTGAGTTACAGTGTGGAGATAAAATAATATTCATAGACCATAAGACGGAAGAATTAAAATTGTTCAGACGTTCACTTATTTATGGATTAAATATATGAATATCCTAGAAAATCATGGGAACGGGAAAATTTTCTTCTCGAAACAGAAGTTAGATTATATGATATAGGCTAGTTGAGCAAAGCTCAGAAGTAAGAAATAAGATATCAGAAACTTTGATTCAAGTTTAAAGAAAAATAAGAACAAAGTCTTACGTAATAATCTCATGAAATTAAGGTCATCAGGGTAAAACAAGATTTAGAGCTGTTGCTCTTTGGATACATAAACTCCGTTTAAATATTTTTATTGCAACAACTTCGGTAAAGCGTAACAGTTTTGAATTCCTTTGTTTGCTGATTATTTTGGATGATTTCGCGACTACAACATCATGTTCATCTCCCAGCAAACGACGAGCGATTGCACTGTTGAAAACCTATCTGTTTAGCTCCGACTTTTGTGGACACAACCTTCATTCCTGTTCTTGCGATATATGTGCTTTGGAACGTGTATGTAAACTGGTAAACATAATTGGAAGTAATACATTTGATTGTTGCAATCAGGATTTGTTTTAGTATAGGGTCACCAACTTGTTCGCAGGATACGTTCTTTTTGGTTTTGCATTTAGTCTAAAGCCAATCCTCCCATCTATTTCATTACCTTTGAAGCCAAGTTTTAAGAAGACAGTCTTTTTCTCAACCGTAGGATATTTCTTATCGTTTTTTCTAGTCGTTCCGTATTTACTTATGAATTTTTGTGGATAACTGTCCTCACGTAAGCAACTTTCAACCATGGCTGATACCTCCTTAATTCTATCCTGATTTATTTTTTTTCTTCCAACTCATTTACAATAAGGACATCTGAATTGGTGAATATAAATGTAGATGATTATGGTAGTAATATCTACATTTTTGGATTATTTCCTTTTAATTTGTCATGATGATTGAACTAAATGCATGTATATTTCGTAACCAAACTAATACATTGAAGTAAATATAACAGTTATATTCTGCAAATAGTTTTTTTCCATCCAAGCATTTCTATCGCTCAAGTTTTCTGGCTGATTAATTCACAAAATTTTATATTCAGCTAGGTGATATAAATATAATATATAAAATGTTTTCTCAAACTTAGACCAAAATTCTCAAAAAAGGACAAATGTGAAACTCGACAAGCGCATTTATGAAAGAACGGCTGAGTCTCAACTTTACTGGGAATCGAGAATGATACTTGTGTAACTTATCTAAAGTCGTCAATCAGATTCCGTCATACCTTGTCTCTTCTGTAGTTTCTCCCAAATCATTTTGAATATCTTGGGAACAGAAGCTTGTCGAATTTTTCATTTTCATCTAAATTCTCTGCTAAACATTCATAAATTCTCACTACCAGGCATTATTTGTTGCTAATTGGAAAGATGAGTAAATAACCAATATTTTCCCTTGGTCATCCATACTCTTTTCCCGACCTTGTTTTACATCAGCCAACGTATTCAGTGTGAAGGGAAGATATACTTCAAGTGCGTTGCTTATATCCAGTCACTGAAAACGTTCATTTTTAATAGTAATTTTGTCTTTCACTTGAGAGTTCCTATGTGTTGTGTTTTTGTTTCCCTTAAAAGTTGTAAAGAAATTAACATTTTATTTGCACTTATTGTTTTATATTTGTGTGTAGCTGATAAATATCAAGGAACTGCATACTAAACAGGGTAATGACCATCTTTGCGAAACGAACCATTCGAATATAGATACTGAAAATTGCAGTGAAATAAATGCATCGAACAATCAATCCGAAGTAAAATCTATGGAGAGAATTTCTTTGTGTGATCCAGCTGGGAATTCTTTTACGATAGCAAATCAAAGTAAAGCTACTGGAGTAGATAAATCTGCGAACTTCGTAGATTCTAATCAATTTTTTCGTGTGTATTTGCCAACCACTGCAGAAAACGAAATGGGTCAGTTTTTTCGTACATTTACTTTCAGCTTAGATAATTATTTTTTAACCTTTATGGAGTTGTCGGCTTGGTATTTGAAACAGTTACTTCTCAATCATTAGGTTTTTATGCAATAGGATACTGTTTTCCAATTATTTTTTCTACTGTCTCTTTCGTTGGTACAGTACATATTTCAGTGCTTCACATTTCTAGACCGTATTGTGTAATCAATAAATTGAAACTAGGCATTAACACCGTTGAATGCCGGCTCATTGCTCTCGGAGTTAAGCGTTTGTGCGTGAGACTGAAGGTTTTGGGTTCCATTCACGCATGCGGGATCGTGGATGCGCACTGCTGAGGAGTCACATACTAGGACGAAATGACCGTCCAATGCTTCCAGGTTTTCATTGATGGTATGGATTAGATCGACTTATGAATTCAACTTTTAGAATGAGAATAAATTAAGTGGACACACTGTTGCCAAGTTTATACTTTAACCTGTTTTTTTTGTACTATGTTCAAAATATCATCATTATGGATTTTTTTACTTGAACGCAAACTAGGTAGAATCGTTTTCACAATAAATTTGAAAATTTAAAATCTACGTTGTTACTTGCTCTATATTCATGTGACTAACATTTCAGTTAAGTAGTTCGTTGAGAATCAACTTAGTTCGAAATTTGTCCTTTCATTATGCGCACCAAATTTGTAAAATACTAGTCTGGGTATGAACTAATTAAGGAGAACAACTCCCAGGTTAGCAAGGATATCTATACTAATACTATCAATGCATAGTTTAGCCATGGGGAATGAGTGCTTTAACCAATTTATATTCCTTCGACATCTCATTTACCCTAATGGGTTTGCTTCTAATAACATCAGGACACGAATCTCACTCGAAATTTATCAATTTACACCACCTATAGCTCAGCAGAAAAATTCATTTGTCTATCGTGCTGTAAGTATGCTTCATTTATAAACTGGCTTAAAACGTGGTCCTTTGAAGTAGATAACATACATAGGCTGCTAGTATCTAAACGTTGATATTTTCTAAACATTGCACACGCTTGTTGTGACCACTAAACCAATACTAATAAGATTACATCAAAGCATTAGTTAGAGGATGGTAAGTCAGTTGATATTGTGAATCTTCGTCAACTAGGTTATTTTAAGTAGTGTATTGATTAATCCTTACCGATTCCAACCGTAACTAACTATGCTATCTGGCTTATTGGAAAATTAGTAAAATATCAATGCTTGTTAGAATCAGTCCATGGAGTTGTTGTCAATTGGTTGAATCGTATCTTGAGTTATGAACTTGTTGACTGGTATCCATACGATCATCATAATTTTTGAGTTGAGTGGGGTGGGCGCGCCCTCCCTCTCGAAATGCTCTCACACGACCACGCGTATACAGCCTCTGCCAGGGAAGCCCTACTCACTGCCTTCTCGTGGCGGGGGTGTTGTTTACGAAAGTGAGAGGACGAGAAGCGAATGTCCGGCGCTTTAACCGGATCCCGGCTCCAGTACCCTGCGGGAACAAGTGGCATATGAACCAATCGTTGGTCACCGGCTACCATGGGACTGCATCTCACGATGCTCCACTGCCTTGTGGGTCAGACCTTTAGGTCAAAGGCTAGGGGTGTGGTGCCCTAAGAAAAACACCTCCTTCGTTCTAGGCACCCAGGCAGTATCACAGTCCACACACAAATATGATGAAATGTCGATATTTATGGAAAATACTTGTCTTGCTTGGATTAACAATCAAACGATTCACATTATTATTATTATTATTATTATTATTATTATTATTATTATTATTATTATCATTTACGTCATTTATTCACTCTCGTTTATTATTATTATTTATTTCAACACATAGATAATGGTACAAAGAGGCACCAAATACATATGCGCCACACAAATCTCATTCGATATGTGTGAGGGCTGTGATACTGCCTGGGTGCCCAAACCGAAACAGGTGGTTCTCTTAGGGGGCCACACCCCAAGCCTTCGACCTGAAGGTCTGATCCACAAGGCAGTGGAGTATCGTAAGGAGATGCAGTCCCATGTAAGCCGGTGACCAACAATTGGTTCATTCGCCATTTGTTCCCTCAGGATACTGAAGCCCATGTGCACCATTGGTTTGGAATCCGGTTAAAGCGCCGGACATTCGCTTTTCGTCCTTTCATTTTCGTAAACAACACCCCCGCCACGAGAAGGCAGTGAGTAGGACTTCACTCTCTTTTATTCCCACTTTGTGTATCCTTATTTTTCGACTTATATAGCAGCTCGCTTATGATGGAAACTCGGTTCTATCTAAACGTTCTCGAGTCACTGCCTGGTTAAAAATTGTATGTTACCACTGAATATGAGTACTGAAGCAGTTTTTCTGAAACCACGTGCACCATTCAAACTGGCTGCCTTCAACGTCCGCACACTTATGCAGGTCGGACAACAGATAGGACTGGCTATGTCTTTGGAAAGTCTTAATATAGACGTTTGTTGTCTATCCGAGACTCATATTCAATACTTTGGTGAAGTACTACAAATTCGCTCTCCATCGGTCGCTTCAAAAAGCTTGTTTACGTGCGTTTATCCGTGGACTCTGAGGCATCTTCGTTTGGTCTTGCTGGCGTTGGTGTCGCACCAAGCGCTAGAGCTGAGGCAGCACTAATCTATTGGATCCCCATTAATAGTCGGTTATGTGCTGTTAGATTAGAGAGTTCCATCAAAGTGAAAAGAAATCGGCGTGAGAAACGATGTCTTTTCGTCATCTCCGCCTATGCCCCGACAGATTGCAGCCCGGATGCAATCAAGAGTGAATTTTTCCACCAGCTAACTGTTCTTCTACAGAAAGTGCGTTCGACAGATATTATAGTACTAGCCGGAGACTTGAATGATCAGGTCGGGTGTCTAGGCACAGAAGAGAGTACTTTAGGTGGTCGATGGGGATTTGTTGGTCGCAGGACATATAACGAGGACCGTCTACAGCAACTGTACACAGACCACAACCTGTTTCTGGCTAACACTAACTCCCGGCACAATCATTACCGATGTGACACCTGGCGTCCTAACTCTGCATCTCAAGACTCTACTCAGATTGATCATCGTGTGTTCGGGCACAGAGACGATAATTCACTGGGTGTCACCATCTTGAAACACCGACTTTTGTGGCTTGGACATGTTTTACGAATGTCGTCCCAGAGAATAAATTATTAAAAAAATGATAAAAATAAATAATAAATAAATAAGATTTAAACACCGGAGATCCTACATGGTTGTAGAGACATATTTATTTATCATCTTCATGTAATTATTGGATTTCACCATGATATCCTACCTTCCATTTGTTCTTTTTCAGCCATATTCGCTCTTTAATCCTTTGGTAGTATTGTTTTTACACTTACCTTAATTTCCTACCCTTGTGATAATTCAAAGTAGAATAAGCTATGCTAACATAAACCTTTGGTAGGTGCTTTTTCTGATTTGTTTATTAACTGAGTGATGTCCACCAACTGCTCTGACTTTTCTGCGTCCAGTGAGGCGAAAGCAAATGCGTGCTCGTATTAGAGCATGATGAGAATCCAAATATGTATTCTACAACGAGTGTCCGTCTTCTGTCGATAGGTTTTACAATCAACGGTAATTATTTTCCTGGAAATTTTTCCATTTTCTGCTAACCTATTCAGTACTTAAGTGATATCGACGTACAGTTATTAGATATATTTAGGAAAGTAAAATACTGCAGAATGCTTACTAAGTTCATCTTTTAAAAAATTTAACGTATAGTTACGATGTAAGTGCAACCTGTGATCTAGTTGTAAAAAATATTTATTCCTTAATTACAGTGATATTTATGTAAATTTTATTTTGATTCTATCATCCACTTATTTCTTAAGTAGATCCTGTTATCATACATCAATGAATTGTCTAGTGATATTTTCTTTATTCGGTTGTTTGAAGTAAAGTTTTCTTCTAATTGTGTTTTCAGTTCAACGATGTTTAACGAGTTTGAATCGTTGTCTACCTGAAGATGCAAGTCTTATGCTTTTTGCTCGTTGGTATGTAATATCAAATGCTCCAGGAACGAAAAGTTCATATAAATTCCAAGAACCCGAGACAAGTTATTGCGACGATACAGGTGATCTTGGGATAAACTATTTTGATGGACCTGGAGAATGGAATCGTTTTGCTAATTTTATATTATCAGCTTCAGGTTTTTCTTTTTATCATCGACACACTGGAAACATCGTATCTTCGGAATGTCAAAATAGTAAGCCAATTCGTTCATATATGACAGTCGCTTGAACGCGTATACTTTATTGATTTACACTGCTTTCTAACAATCACTACAAACAAATATCAGATATTTTGTGTCAGTTCTCAGTTGCTTATAAACTTGACATGTATTTTTTACTAAGATGATAATATGTAAACCTCATAGCTCTAAGCTACATTCTAAAATTAGACGGCTTTCATAGCAGCGATTACAGTTTCTGGAATTTGTAACTGTTAAATTTGGATAAAAAATAGTTATCGCTATTGGAGTTTTCCAATTGGCTTATGATAATTAGTAATTACGAAACAAATGAGCTATTCTAATACGAACGGTTCTGATGCGAAATCGATAACGGCAGTTGGCAAACAACACTTCAACAATTAGTGGCTGATACAGAAATAAAACGAAGCCTAGAAAAAAAATTGATATTCAATTAGAACAATCTGAAATGATATAATTTCGGTATATATAATAATGAAAGCAAACTAAAAATAATAACCAATTAGAAATGGTCAAAAGTCATTCGGGAAATTTAATTAGGATAAAAACGTTTGTGGTTATCATTCATCGTAAGTAATTTTAAGTTTTGAGCAGTTGTCCAGTTAGTAGACGAACACATGTAACAATCATCCTGATTTAAAGGTTGTTTATATTATCTTTTACAATGAAAGTATATGGATTTCCTATTTTGCTAAAATTATTTATGCACTTGGAGTATGAAGTTCTTTGCAACAGTACTTTTCAGATTTCAGCTTCAAAATTTTCTGGACATATATATTTCATTGCAATCTTATATGTTATTTTCTCATAGCTCACTACGGGTATTTTCGTATTATTGGTCTCATGTTTTTTACGAACAAAAGTTAAAATTTACTGTCCACCATTTATTTTTTACATTGTTATGAATAACTATATAAAGATGTAGGTGGCATCTTCCGATCGTCTAAACGCCGTCGACCCGGTCCTGAAGAATCTTCAGAATTAGATTGGAATAACTTGATCGATCTCTTAGATTTAGGGTATGATAATGAACTAGTTCATCCATCTTTATTTTTACCAAAATCAACTAATTTGTTGTTTATGAAACTGGACTTCGAAAAAAATCTGGCTTTTAGTGATCAAAAACAATCCGTTTATCTTTCATATGTTCGTGATGATCCTGATAGTCGTATTATACTTTCTTATCTACCGACAATATTGTTCGCCTTTCATTTAACATATGAGGTAAGTAGTGGTTTTGAGTACATTTATTTGTAGTCGTCCTTATTAACCTTTATAACGAGTAGTCTGAAGTGAGAAGTGTTTTATGTGATATATATTTGGACTGTGTTTCAATGGTTTTACTTTATTTTATAGTGTTTTCTATGTAATATACTAGTCACATTGTTGGTTTCATCTATTCCCAGTTTACATAATTAGGCTACTTAACTTTTCTTTTCATAAAGATCAGTTTTGTCAGTGTTGTGTGACATTAGGAAACTAGAAGATTCTGAAATCTAACTATCCAGTTCCATTTTGTCTTGATACGTTTTAACCTTTCAGGATTAGCTTACATCGAAGGGTGACTTTAGCTAAGCAACCATTGAAAACCAGGTAGCATTGGATAAGCGGCTCTTCATAGTACGGGGTTCCTTAGAAGTACGCTCCTACAACTTTCCCACCTTTCGGTGAACGCTCTACTTCTTGGCGATTAAGTCATTATCAAGTGGTCCAGTTTTTAATTTGACTTTTTGTAAAATTGGGAAATAATACTTGAATTAATGATTTTTTCCCGCTTATCTACGAATTATGTACATGTGGATATATATTTCCTTTATCTAATCAATCCGTCATTGTTTATTGATAAGAATAGTGATACAAGAAAATTTTTGTCGGATTATATATCATAGAAAGCTATGATCCAACTACTTCATTGCCATTAGATTGTTAGTTCAAGAACCTCTCTATCTACCTTTGAGGTAGATTTCATACTAAAATGACATTAGTTTCAAATTTTTTTAAAAGATATTCAGAACAAGTAATTTATGAGATTATGTTTTGATTTCATCTTGTTTGCTAATGGTAGAATTATCTCTTGTGGTTTATGATGTATTTAGTCGTAATTTAATTTTCCTATCTGGTTTGTTATATGCTTTCAGGAAGCTAAATTGAATTCCATTTTACAAGATAAAGTGAAGCATCTAGCCGAACTCAATTTCATCATTTCAAGGTATCTAAAATTTATTCTGTAATTACACTTTTCAGGAATCCATTTTTGAATTAACTAAATACGAGTTTCTAGATATCGTGAACTTGTTCACATGGAGTTCTTGTAATGTACATTTGAATAAATAGTTTAAACAGAAAGGAATCTCTTGAAAACCCAGGTTATTTAGAGACAACTATGTAAACAATGCAATACTTCTGGGTTGTAAACTTTAGTACATGGACTTTAGTAACATGTCGTTACCACTGAAAATTCACACCTTCCTAGTTAAGTAGATAAAGAAGTTCTAAGCGATCTTTCTGTCTCAGATTTCGTTATTCTCATTTTAGTTATGCTTTACGGGAATTTATATTGAATGATAAATACTTGTTTATGTCAATCCATTTCCACATATGTTTCCTCACCTAACATTATACTATCATTTTCCTAACTTATCATGACATTTTATTTAATTTAACACATAAATATTAGTACAGGGAGGCACCAAATAGATATTCCTCACACAATAATAATGAGGTTGAGAAGAGATAGAAAATAGAAAGTTAGTAGAATAAAAAAGAAGGGAAACAATGAACAGGAACAAGTGTACGGGAGTAAAATAATAATAATACTGATAATGATAGCAAGAAAAGCAGTTCTTTGCTTTTGAATATTCTATGGGAATATTTAAACTGCTAAAATCTAGAAGCAGTTGGGAAAAATACAACCAGAAAGAATAATTCCAGTTCAAGAAGTCACGGTCATCTTTTATGACCACCTTTCCGCTTTCTCTAACCAGTCCCAGCGTCGGCAAATATTGCACGACGTGGAATTCTCTGGGACGACATTTGTAAAACATGTCCAAGTCACCAAAGTCGATGTTTCAAGATGGTGACACCCAGTGAATTATCGTCTATGTGCCCGAACACACGATGCCGAACCTCTGTATTATTAGCGTGGTGTTGCCACTGGATGTCAGCAATCCTTCGAAGACAACGATGATCGAACACAGAGAGTCGTCTAACATCCTCGACTCGGAGAGGCCAGGTTTCCCAAGCATAGAGCAAACCTACTCTCACCGATGCACTGTAGATCCGGCCTTTAACAGCCAAACTGACATCACGAAGGCGCTAAAGATGGCACATATTGGCATAAGCCGCTCTGGCTTTCATTATACGTGAATCGATCTCATCACTCACGCCACCACCAGCACTTATGCAACTACCGAGATACACGAACTCCTTGACCATGTCTATCCTCTCACTATCCAGGGTGAGTTCAGTGTCAAGATCCGTCCAGTCTTGTAAAAGTGTTCTGCACTTCGAAGGTTCACGGACACGAATTGCCAAGTGATTAAGTGCAGATTGCATGGCAACAGATCCTTGCTACCGTTACCTACATCCATCAGAGCTGTTTCCAGAATGTCATCGACGTGACAGTTGAAGGGGAATGGTGAGATTTGGCAACCGTGACTAACCCCACTGCTTAAATGGAACAATGGAGAGAGGTGGTTGTATGCCCCCACTCTATCTGAGGTGTTTGTATATGGGGATTTTAGGATGTTAATAAACTTCTTAGGCACACCCTCTTCCAATGGACAATCCCAGAGAACAGTCCTGTCCAACGAATCGAAGGCAGCCCTAATGTCAAGAAACACTACGATTGTTGGCCTTTGATTAGTACGGTGGTGTTCTAACATTTGGTGGAGTGTGAATATATGATCAATACATCCTCGACCAGAACGAAAACCAGCCTGCTCCTCGCGAGTCAATCTTTCTCGTGTTTTGAACAATTTACGAAGTATGACAGAAGCCAATAGTTTGGACGCAATCGGAAGTAGACTTATCCCCCGATAGTTGTTACAGGAACGACATGAACCCTTTTTAAAGATAGAGACAACTGTCGATTCATTCCGTGATGTTGGGACACTCACAAATTACCAAACGTTTGTAAACAACGATGTCATTTCGTTAACCAGGAAGTCACCACCATCTTTAAAAAGGGCTAGGGGTAAATCATCTGCGTCTGGTGATTTGTAGCGCTTCAAGAGTTGGAGTTCCTTGTAGACTCGCTTCATTTGGTGGATCAGTCGTCTCCGGCCATGGAGGGCAGTACAGTCTGATCGGTGTTGTCGGAGCAGCAGACCAGTAGGACTGCTCCTCGAAAAATTGCCCATCGCCCAAGACGTCGATGGATGTTAGTGATTGGCATCCCATTATCCTCGCAGATTGTTTCACTCACACCAGACTTCTTGCTGCCAGTGGCTCGGATGAGCTGGAAGAGCTACCGGTAGTTACCATATGCAGCTGCTGCTTCCAGCTCATTAGCACACTCCGACCACCAGGCTTCTCGGTCCTTACGCAAGCTTTGCCCAATTTCCCTACGTAACATCCTTCGTTTATGGTCAAACTCACGGTCACCCGGAGTACACCAACAGGCTTCAATGAGTTGTAAGGAACCAGAAGAAACCCAGTGCTTAAAAGCGGGACGTTTCGCAAACCCACAACTGACTGTTCCCGCCATTTTCATGGCGTCATGCAATTGCGACCAATGCTCATCTATACTTTTCGGTGGGGTGGTAGCTAGCCTATAAACTAGCTCGGTTCGATACTTACTTGCAACAGAAGTTGCAACCAACTTGCTGACATCAATCCTTTGATGGTGGTCACTTCGTTGTCCACTGAAAAGTAAGGCAAGATTGGCGCAGACCAAGGCATGGTCAGAGTCCAGATAGGTACTCCAAAAGGAGCGGCAGTCTTTTACACAACCACGCCAGCGGTAGCTGATCGCGATGTGATCAATCTGAGTCTAGGCTTGGGATGCAGAGGGAGTACGCCAGGTGTCACATCGGTAATGATTGTGCCGGGAGTTAGTGCTAGCCAGAAACAGGTTGTGGTCTGTGCAAAGTTGCAGTAGACGGTCCCCGTTATCTGACCTGCGACCAACAAATCCCCATCGGCCACCTAAACGACTCTCTTCTGTGCCTAGACACTTGACCTGATCATTCAAGTCTCCGGCTAGTACTATAATATCTGTCGAACGCACTTTCTGTAGAAGAACAGTTAGCTGGTGGAAAAATTCACTCTTGATTGCATCCGGGCTGCAATCTGTCGGGGCATAGGCGGAGATGACGAAAAGACATCGTTTCTCACGCCGATTTCTTTTCACTTTGATGGAACTCTCTAATCTAACAGCACATAACCGACTATTAATGGGGATCAGCTCTAGCGCTTGGTGCGACACCAACGCCAGCAAGACCAAACGAAGATGCCTCAGAGTCCACGGATAAACGCACGTAAACAAGCTTTTTGAAGCGACCGATGGAGAGCGAATTTGTAGTACTTCACCAAAGTATTGAATATGAGTCTCGGATAGACAACAAACGTCTATATTAAGACTTTCCAAAGACATAGCCAGTCCTATCTGTTGTCCGACCTGCATAAGTGTGCGGACGTTGAAGGCAGCCAGTTTGAATGGTGCACGTGGTTTCAGAAAAACTGCTTCAGTACTCATATTCAGTGGTAACATACAATTTTTAACCAGGCAGTGACTCGAGAACGTTTAGATAGAACCGAGTTTCCATCATAAGCGAGCTGCTATATAAGTCGAAAAATAAGGATACACAAAGTGGGAATAAAAGAGAGTGAAGTCCTACTCACTGCCTTCTCGTGGCGGGGGTGTTGTTTACGAAAATGAAAGGACGAAAAGCGAATGTCCGGCGCTTTAACCGGATCCGGGCTCCAGTACCCTGCGGGAACAAGTGGCATATGAACCAATCGTTGGTCACCGGCTTACATGGGACTGCATCTCCTTACGATGCTCCACTGCCTTGTGGATCAGACCTTCAGGTCGAAGGCTTGGGGTGTGGCCCCCTAAGAGAACCACCTGTTTCGGTTTGGGCACCCAGGCAGTATCACAGCCCTCACACATATCGAATGAGATTTGTGTGGCGCATATGTATTTGGTGCCTCTTTGTACCATTATCTATGTGTTGAAATAAATAATAATAATAAACGAGAGTGAATAAATGACGTAAATGATAATAATAATAATAATAATAATAATAATAATAATAATAATAATAATATGTGAATCGTTTGATTGTTAATCCAAGCAAGACAAGTATTTTCCATAAATATCGACATTTCATCATATTTGTGTGTGGACTGTGATACTGCCTGGGTGCCTAGAACGAAGGAGGTGTTTTTCTTAGGGCACCACACCCCTAGCCTTTGACCTAAAGGTCTGACCCACAAGGCAGTGGAGCGTCGTGAGATGCAGTCCCATGGTAACCGGTGACCAACGATTGGTTCATATGCCACTTGTTCCCGCAGGGTACTGGAGCCCGGATCCGGTTAAAGCGCCGGACATTCGCTTTTCGTCCTCTCACTTTCGTAAACAACACCCCCGCCACGAGAAGGCAGTGAGTAGGGCTTCCCTGGCAGAGGCTGTATACGCGTGGTCGTGTGAGAGCATTTCGAGAGGGAGGGCGCGCCCACCCCACTCAACTCAAAAATTATGATGATCGTATGGATACCAGTCAACAAGTTCATAACTCAAGATACGATTCAACCAATTGACAACAACTCCATGGACTGGTTCTAACAAGCATTGATATTTTACTAATTTTCCAATAAGCCAGATAGCATAGTTAGTTACGGTTGGAATCGGTAAGGATTAATCAATACACTGCTTAAAATAACCTAGTTGACGAAGATTCACAATATCAACTGACTTACCATCCTCTAACTAATGCTTTGATGTGATCTTATTAGTATTGGTTTAGTGGTCACAACAAGCGTGTGCAATGTTTAGAAAATATCAACGTTTAGATACTAGCAGCCTATGTATGTTATCTACTTCAAAGGACCACGTTTTAAGCCAGTTTATAAATGAAGCATACTTACAGCACGATAGACAAATGAATTTTTCTGCTGAGCTATAGGTGGTGTAAATTGATAAATTTCGAGTGAGATTCGTGTCCTGATGTTATTAGAAGCAAACCCATTAGGGTAAATGAGATGTCGAAGGAATATAAATTGGTTAAAGCACTCACTCCCCATGGCTAAACTATGTATTGATAGTATTAGTATAGATATCCTTGCTTACCTGGGAGTTGTTCTCCTTAATTAGTTCATACCCAGACTAGTATTTTACAAATTTGGTGCGCATAGTGAAAGGACAAATTTCGAACTAAGTTGATTCTCAACGAACTACTTAACTGAAATGTTAGTCACATGAATATAGAGCAAGTAACAACGTAGATTTTAAATTTTCAAATTTATTGTGAAAACGATTCTACCTAGTTTGCGTTCAAGTAAAAAAATCCATAATGATGATATTTTGAACATAGTACAAAAAAAAACATGTTAGAGTATAAACTTGGCAACAGTGTGTCCACTTAATTTATTCTCATTCTAAAAGTTTAATTCATAAGGCGATCTAATCCAGACTATCAATGAAAACCTGGAAGCACTGGACGGTCATTTCGTCCTAGTATGGAAGGAGAGTGGTCTCTGCGCACCCTCTGTCGTACCTGGGCATTTGGAGGCCATTTTGTATGTAATATCAAACGGTAATTTTTATAGGTTTTTCCCCCATTGTATATATATATATATTTTTTTTTTCTGTACACATTTGTACAAGTCTCACAGTCTCAGCAGTTGACCAGATCTTTTTCTCTTTGATTTTGCCTTAGTATTCCTCCCTTAATAGAACGTATGATATATACATCATATCATAGGTGGCTAGAATACTGATATTGTGAGAACATTTGTGGAATCTGTTTATATCAATGTTTTTCTACTTTCTCTTTCTAGTATATTAAATTTGCCGGCTTATACTACGTTTTATGAAAATGAATATCCAAGTTTGTGTAACTTGTCTTTAGTTACTGATGCCAAATTTCCAACTAAGTATTTAAAGTGGCCGAATAAAATATCGTTTGATATTGCACCTTGCTTGTTATCATGGATAACAAGACAGTTGGAATCAGTTTTTTCTGGTGGGACTTCTGTTAGAATAAATCCTTATCCTTATCTGACTGGTGTAAATGATTTGGCAACTGCCTTAGCAGGAGTAATCGTTTCAGCTTTATCCACAGATAAACTGGAGGTACTTAAAAGCTCTGATTTAAAGTCCGCAGTTCAATATCTTTTGGAGTTTTGGTCTGATCATATATTCACATGGAAAACATTCGTAAAGTCGAGTGGTTCAGGTCTGTGTTAGTTTATCTTTATTTATTCTATATGGAAGAGGATAGTTTTTAAATAATAATATTTGCTAATCAGTTAATTCGTAGACCAACTAAATGAAATATCTTCAAACAAACTTCTTATTTGTCTTTCGGCATATAATTTGTATGATGGTGACATGTATCTGATCTTAATGAAATTAACCGTACTCACTGTACTCTTGCTAGTTAATTCATTATGTCATTTGACTATACAAGTCATTTCGTATCGATGATTCTACCAAGGAATTCGGTCTCCGGTTCTTCATTGAAAATATTTTGGTAAACTGATTGTTTTTAAGACTTATACCTGAATTACTTCAGAAAGTTAGATTATTTGTGAACTACCACAAGTAATGTATAACTTGTATCAAATATGTATCGATTGATGTCGTTATACTTCAGTGAGGAAAAATTCAAAGGAATTACAGCAAAAACATAAGTATCATAATGTCGTCGATCGTGGGAGATTAAGTAAAGTAGTTAAAAGAGCCTATAAAGTTGGGAGATGAAAGTGGATTTCATTGGGTATATGGCTGGGTGCGATTCAAAGTATATTGTAAAAGTGCAACATATGGCTACCTTAGATGCAGTCATTTTCAGTTATCGACAATTTTACGTTAGTGGGAAATTATTATGGTATGTCTAGGTCTATGTAAACATAGCATTGCTTTTATCTATAGTTTCTATGATAGTGACAAATAATCTACTTTCTGTGAATACATTAAACCTAGTTTAGGTGCTACCATCAAAATGACTGTTGAGGTGGTTTTCTGATATTGTTTTTTGTGATCTGACTTATTTTAAATTCATAACATATAGTTTTATTTAATCTGTTTGAAATAAATATATTTTTTCAACATAATTTCTTAGTTACGGAGTTTCTTTACTATTTATTATTAATTTCCTTTTTGATGATTTTATCTAGTTTATGAATGTGCATCAAGGAAAAGAGATGATTTTCCTATATTTAATGATGAAGAAGTTAAACATTGGCTACAGAATGCTGGACCTTACGCTTGTTCTTATGTCGAGACACTTTTAACTTGCGTTACATTATCTAGTAATAAATTTTCTCATAAAAATGAATCAACTGGTTTACCGATTTCTGCACAACATTTGGCATTATTATTTCTTAGTCGATTGGAGTCGAGCAGTACAGTGTTCTATGGTGTGTTGAGTAGGAGATTACGTGTACTTCCACCTGGATTGTCAATGGTTTTACGTATTTTTCTTAACCGTTGCCGGCTGCATCCTCCGCCTAATTGTGATCCTCATGTATATAGTTTGATGGGTAAGTTCGTTTTGCTACCTATTTAGATTTTGTATATAACTAAAGTTAAAAGCACAAATATTTATATGATAAAATGTAGTTTTCAGTTATTCTGAAACACGGATGCAAAAATATTTGCACAAACTCGCCTTGATATATGGCTAAATGAAATATTTTTTGTTCGTATTGGTCTTGTGTTATATGTTCTCAAAATACCGATGTTTTAAGCAATATGGTCCGTTGTTTTTGTAATGATAGTCTATATAGACAACCATCCTATGGTTACAACTACGGTTTTTTCATGGTGTTTAGTCATACATGAATTCTACCGTATTTGCCATCTATTGGCTAAGTTACAAAAATCTGGTTGTTAACCTATCACTTCCGTCACAGCGGGTAACTTTTAAAAATATAATATTCTGTAGTGATTTAGTTATGGTTCAATGCACTCTGGTTTAAATAAGTGAATTTGACAAGCTGCTTCCCAAGTGTAATTTTTTAACTTTTAGATACCACATTTTGTCCTTTTGTTTTTTATATCCTAACAGCCTATTGTACATTATAAGTAATCTATATTTTCTCATTTAAGGACGTACTGATTTGGCGAAGCAAGCACATATGTTGAATCATCAGGAAAACTCTATCTTTGATTCAGTATTTAATTCTAATTCTGTTAGTACAAGTTCTGAGCCAATTAGTCTATGTAAAGTATTATCTGTGCCTTCGTCTGTCGGTGAAACTTCTTCCTGGTCTATCGGAGAACGCTGGTCAAATTTAGTTCTTCCTCTTCGAGATATAGACTCATTATCCTCGAATGTGGCTGTATCATCTCATGCTCTTTTGTACCATATAGAAAACAACCCATGTTGTCAAGCTTCTTTCAAGGTTGTTTACTTTATTCGAAGATGATACATGATTTTTGAAATTTGTAAATGTATGTATTTTTCATCATCAAACGTTAATAATCTCGTAAAGGGTCAAAATGAAAGGACGTTATAGATTAATTCATCCTATCAGGATTTGGTATCGGCATGTTATCGTTTAAGTCAGCAGTGAATGGCACTTTTTCTTGTTATTTATGTGTATTCGACATCGTAAAATATGTCTTCACTTTTGTTGGTGTTGCCATTCTATGAACTGTGTGATGTATGTAACTGTGAAGCTCTCGTTGTCGTTCTGGATAAAGTCATCAGAGAATAGTATATGTAGAAATGGGCTTTTCAATTATTGAATAAGTATCAGATCAGTTCATTCCGATGACTAGGAAGCGAATCACCCTATTATGTGAGAAAACATCTCGGAAATCACCATCAGAATTTTGAAACCCTTCGTTATCAGTGTCCTTCACAAGTCAACACAATCACTTTTCCGTTTTATGAGAATCAAAAAATGCACCAGAGTAAAAAAAGCAATGCCATCACTAAACATTCACGAATGTAAATTGTCAGCTAAACTTCATGATTTACTCTATTGATATCAGTGCACTTAGACAACTACAAACGAGAATTCAATTAGGGAGACGTCAGAATTCTCGATCAGGGAAGATCTAAGAATGTTCTGATGAAACTATTCAGGACGGAAACGAATGCTTCACAATTAAACTTCTTTGCTCAAATAACACAATGCCATCAAAAGTATCCATCTGAATTGCAAATCTTTTTCATCATTTCTCCACTTCTTTTTGACTATTATCATATCGAACACAGTTCATTTAAACAGCCAATTGATACTTATCTATTTATTATTGTATGATATCCACAACAATCAAGACTAATGTAAATGAAATAGATTTTTCAAAACATACTAATTGTGGTAAAGTTGAAACAGTTAATAAAGTCTTTCTATTATTAAATCTTGATTTAATGCGGTTTCTAAAATTTAGTAAACAGTGCAAATATCATATTTGCTTTTGTGTAATGGACAAGCTCAAACATATAAATTCGTTTAAGCTGATTATTCTATTTTCTAGCAGTTCTGTGAGAGTCAGTAGCTCATTTATCTTCATAAACAATGTTGTTAGCCTGTCGAAGGTTGGAGTACTGGCTGACTGTCACCAGTAACCTTTGCTTTTTATGACCCATCATTACATGAAACCGATTGATCGCCGAGTAGTTACCGATGCCACGTATAACAATTCCTTTGTAATGCTGATCGAATTCCATCGACCAAGGACTGAACGAACATGATATTGGTCACTATTCAGTTATCAGTCATTTGTAAATACATTTCATTCCTGTAAGAGGTGGTCATTAGTAGCCCGGAAAGCTCAGTGGTAGTGTCTATGGATGTGGAATTGGGTAACACCTGACTGAGCATTAGTCCCCTCAAGACTACAGGTACATTTTTCTGATGAGTGCTAAATAGCACGAAACTTGAGTTCAGAGTTTCCTGTCGACTACTTCCAACTACCTAAGGTCTTGATAACTAGATTATTTTCTTGCTGTTTCTGTGTTCTCTGAAACTTAATACATTTTCAATTTGTACAAATATTTTTAGGATGATTTACGTCTTCGTGAAGCATATCGGCTTCTTCAAAGTTTCAGTCATATTCGTCTTCCTCGTCTGAATTCCGAAGATCCTGTCAGTACATCTCCCAATAATGCTTCTGGTTCTGATTTAAATGCTCGTTTGACAGAAGCACGGTTTGAGATGCACTTAGCTGCAGCTGGTATTCGTGTTTGGGCTTCTGTTATTGGTCGTGGAATGCTGACTTTTGGAATCCTTACAGGTTCGAAAGTACCAACACAACTTCGTGTACCTCCAATATGTTTACGTGGTCGAGCAATTTCTCCAAGCAGTGGAAGGCGTGTTTTGGTTGACCTCGCTCGAGAGCCCCTCGGGCCTGCTAATACAAATGTGGGTGCCAACAGGACTGGAACTGCTGAAGCGATTGCGAGTGGCTTAGACATAGCTGGGGGTAGTGGAGATAGACTTAGAACCACTGGTATCCAGAGTGTTGACGCTTCTAATCATCCAGGAAATTCTGTGGCTCTAGCTATCGCTTCTTCATTAGCCTCATGTGGTGCAGGGGCATCTTTGCGTGTAAGACACTGTTTTAGAATTGTATTTAGAGTTCTTTTTTTCTAGTCTTGTTGAAATATCTTTAACAATGTATAACTCTAAAAAAGTAATCACTGTATCAATTGATTTTTCCTTCCAGACTGTATCCTTAGGACTGAAACGTATGACACCAAGCAATAACTTGCTTAACAATTATGCCAGTTCCAATATTTCCACGACAGCTACAAACTCAGCGTCTTCTACTGCTTCATTGCTGTCCACTGCCAACATTCAACAGGCCCCAGGAGTACTGGCTGCAAAGCACTGGCCAGATTTTCATAATGGAGTGGCTATTGGTTTAAGTATATCACCTCATGCCTCGGTTAGTTCCGAAAATTGTGCGTGTAGTTCTTGCATATTAATTTTCATAACATATTTACTGAATCAAATCAAGTTCCATTAACTGAATACATTTCAAAATAAAAAATCAGTCACGAAAGTGCCTGTATACTTTTGTTGAGACATCATAACAGTCAAGAGAGTTACTCACGTCCAACGTATTTTGTGACCACTTTCTACTGTTGCTTGAAAATCTCACTGCCATTAGTGTAAACCCTCCTATGTGAGAAAATAAGAAGGCAAATTACTTCGGTCGTCAACATTTATATGTAATATTGTTTCTATTCATAGCAATTCCGTGATATATTTACTAGTCACATTTCTTATGTAAGTAGTCAGGATCCTGCTTAGTGTAGCAGTAGCAACGGTTAGCTTAGTTTAAACTCAGTGACTTATCTGTGTTTTGGTCTCTGTAATTAAATTACAATCGGAATGAGAGCATTAAATAATTCATTAACATTTTTACTAATATTAAATGAACTATAGGTTACTTGTTTTTTCATAAATGTGTGAATTTTCAATGCCTATTTGTATGTTTCACTACAGATAGATGCAACATGGATTTTATATAACTGTCGTGCTGCCGGATTCACATCCACTAATAATTCCAGAAATAATCTTCGTACTAATCAAGATTCCACATCATCCCAGGACACGTCTAGTCCAGAACAAGCTGGTCTACTTCTCGGTTTGGGTTTAAATGGTCATTTAAACAAAATTACACCTTATGATATAGGAGAATATCTTGTACGAGTGCATGACTTGCACAATATGGCTGTACTTTTAGGTAGGGCCTTTATAGTTCATATTGTTTTTCCCTAAACATTATATATACAATTGTATTGTAGAAAATAATTTTACTTTTTATACCTTTTCTGGTTGCCGACGTTTTAACTGCAATGTAATGTTATCTGAATTGTTTTGTAATAATAGCGAAAAAGTCGTAATTGTCTATTTGAGATTTGAAGATATCATCTGGTTACCCAAACTGAAGTAGAATAAGTGTTCAGCATTTAAACCAATTGTTGAAAATCTACTCTTTAAGCAACCAAGACACAATAATCCATAGGTTCAGTATAATTCGCCTAAATTTGTAACATCACATTGAAGGAAATTTGAAATGAAACGTAAAGATAAATGAATCTACTTGTAAAATAAAAGATTATTGGAACTTAAACCCTGTTATTAAAGTAGGATAAATTGTAAACTTTTTAATTAATCTGAAATTGAGTTTCATCCTTTTGTAATACGTTGTTCGGAATTTCTTCTGCGGGGGGGGGATTAATGATAACAGTTAATGACTTCGTAAATCTGTACTATATTATTTGTCCATCTGGATGTGATTTTCATTCTCCTTCTTGTTGATTAGTGGAGTAATGATTAATTCGTTCAACTATCAACCACTAGGTCTAGAATCTGCTCCATTTACTTTAGTTTGGGCAATAGGATAGTATCTTTAGCCCTTACACTTAGAGCGTGGTTCATACTCAAGCGCTTGGTTAATGAGTTCATTATATATGATATATCATATATCCGTTGAAAATCACTATTAAATTCAGTTTTTTTAGAATGTCGATGTGGCATGCTGTGATTGAACGGTTGTATAACTTACCTATTTGCAAATTGGCTGGATTATAGTGGTGTTATAGCCTTTACTAAAAACTATAAATACTCCTGTTTTTCTGTACATTTTTGACTCTTACGTAAAATTTGCTCTTCCTGCTTCTTTCGTCTTTTGATTTGTGACTGTTGAGTTCTACGCGTCTGAGTGCTGATGGTTGTATACCTTATTTGCCGTAACCAAGTACAGGACGTAACCGATATATACATATTATATTTGTTAGGAGAGTTTTATGTTTATCCGATTTATATGTTTGTTTTCAAGATATTAATTCATTTATAAGTTATTCATTTTATGGTAATTAAACAGTCAGTTTGCTTTCAAATTAAAATCTTTTTCTATAGGCGATCAGATTTGTTTACGCCATCTTCCTTAAAATATTGTTGACATTTCTTTGGACAAATAGGGTTATATATGGGGACTTTTAAGCATCTCATTTTATTCTTCTAAACCATACGCCTATCTATTTTTGTATGTATCTAATCAAACGCCAACTCCAAGAGAGTTAAATGTAGCCCAGTTTATCCGTATAAACAATGGGCAAAACACAATTTGGCAGATAAGGACATACATAAATCTACAGAAAACACAATATAGTTTTGTTAAAGCGTGTAAATAATAAGCAAGAAGTAGTTACATATTCTTCAATTGTATTTCTTCGCTAAACTAGTTATTATGTACATTTTATTTTATCTTTTTAAGGGTTATGTGCTGGGAGACGAGGTACAATGGATCAGTCTGTTTTGCGGCTTATTGCAGTTCATTACCGTCCACTTTTGCCTTCCAATCCTTTGATTAATGTCCAACTTAGTGTTCCTAATTTATGCCAAGCGGCTGCCATTTTCGGTCTTGGGTTACTTTATCAGGGATCAGCACATCGACATATTACTAATTTATTGATTAATGAGCTAGGTCGTTCGTTAAGTGAAGATTCTCATTCTGATGCACATTTAGGATTAAATGCAGATACGGACTCCCAGCAAACTGTTTCTAATGCATCTAATAATAATCCCACAAATAATACCATCGGTTGGACTGGTGCTGGTGGCTCAGGGGGTTTTGCAGGTGACAGCTGTGAGCTTATGGCTCTTTCAGCTGGTCTTGCACTCGGGCTTGTACTCCTACAGGTGAGTTTTTGCACCCATACATTCTCACAAATTTCTTTGTATTTTAAGATCTGTTGCATAGTGATCATCTGAGCCTATAGTCGTAAGCTTTATTTTCTGATCAGATAAGGTCTGATAGTGGCTTTGGAAATAGTAGCGTTGTTAAGATATTTTGGTGATCTTGCTTTCACCTAACACATCAATCCTCACAGAGTTGAAAAGCCAACCTAATGTATTATATAGGATTCATCTTTCAGGTTTTACTCGGTTTAAATGACCAAAGTTTAGCTCCCAATAAGGTTGTTACGCCTGCTCGTCACATAGTAAATTTTTTAGTTTTACTAAATGATTTGCTTTTTGTGTATATTATTCACAGAGAGGTGATACACCATGTGGTTTGTCTGATCTACAATGGGCGGAGAAATTACGTGCGTATATGACTTCGGGACCAAGGAGTACGAATTCAGCTGTTGCAGAGAATCAACAATTCACCGTGCATTTCTCATGTGATCTTCATGAAAGATGTTTACCTATTCAGCGCGTGAAAGGGAGAGGTGCTCCCCATCGACTAGTAGACCATTCAAGACGACCTCATCAGACGAGTGTTGAACCTGTTAGTCCTCAAAATAATTTATCAGATTCTTCTACAAGAGGTGCTTCTCTCTCTTCAAGTACCTTTCGAACTCCCAGCTTACTGCTGCACAGCGATTACTCAACGGAACCTCTAGTTGATCCAGAGCGATTTCTAACCAATGAGCATTTACATAATTCTATGGATGTCAGAGGAATCTCTTCATCCAGTCGACAACCTTCATCTCGTCGTCGCAGTTTATCTAATACTGGTCCTGCGACATCTCCAACTCTAACAAATGGCCCTAATAGAATTTCATCTACTGTTTCTGACCTTGCTGGTCGTTTGGACGAATGTTCAACTAAAACAACATGGAAAAATCCTCAGGTATAATCCAAAACTACTGTTTGTGTGTTAATTTTGGCTCAAATCTTACGTTTTAACATTTTCTCCATCTCCACTTTATTATTTTTTCTTTTGACAAAATTTTTGTTTCAGATAAGGGATCTCCACTGCTACAACGCAGATGTTAGCGCCCCTGGTGCTATGATGGCTCTTGGAATGGCTTATTTGGGTAGTGGTAATTCCACCGTCAGTAGTTGGCTCCTTCCACCATCTTCTTTACGCCAGTTGGAGCTTATTCGACCCGACTTGCTCTTGTTCCAAGCGCTTGCCTATGGTCTTGTTAACTGGAATTCCATAGAACCAACTCAAGAATGGATAGATTCTTACATACCGGAACAATTGTTTGAAAGGCTTAGCGAGTCCATCAGACCAAGGCCAAAGTTACATTCACCGAGCGTCTCAGATATTCGTGCTACATTGGGGCAGGCTGATTTATCCAGTGAAGATGATGTTGAGAATCGATGTCCAGATCAAATATTTACTGATTCTTTATACCATGCATATGGACGTTCTGCATATAATAGGGGTCGTCGAAGTACATTAAATAATGTTCGTGGTCGACCTGTTCGACGGTCAAGGAGATATGATATAAGACAATGGTCTGAAGAGGAATCTAGTGTCAACAATATCAAAGCCGTCCCTGGAAAAAGCGAGTGGTTCGATCAATTTGGATTGCAAAATAAAGATTCTGTGGATATTGAAGCCATAAGGTGAGTATATATTATTATTGATATTCACTATGAAAACATAATTTCATTGAATTATCGATCCTCTTTCTACGTTCATTTTATATTTACAGAATAGATGCGTGTTATCGACGTCGAATAAATGAATTCTGAACTTTTTAACTATAAACATGTGTAACATAACAAATATGAAAATAGTGGCATGTATGTATGAGCATCTAAATCTGATTCTTTCGTTTCTTATCTCGCTCCTCAACTTCCCATACTCTACAACGTTTTGTATTTATTCACAAACCTTGAGCTTAGAAAATAGCTCAATTGGCATGCGAAAACTAAAATAGTATGTTATAGCTTTGATGTTCCTATCCTATATTTAGTCAAACAACATGCTTCACTAGATTAACTGCAATTCAGCAGACGTCTATGTATTACGTTTATAAAACGTACATAAGGGAACCAACGAGCCAACCATATTGATTCACTTTGATGGCCTGCCCCTTCAGTAAACCTTCAAGCATACACAAAGACGAAAAGGGTATTTATTTGGTTAGGTCTCCTTACGTACTCAATTTTTTAGTTGACAAATTCAGCACTCACATTTGGGGTTTGGGTCAGGCAAAAGTTTTGACCGGTTTTAATTATTAATTTATTCAGCAATGTTGTTCTTCCTGCTAACGATCAAAATTAACCATGAAGTGAATATTGTTTTGTTAAGGCCACTTATAAAGCTAAATCATCATGAACCATCATGGAGTCAGACAAACGATCAGTTATTGATAATGTTCAGATTTTCAAGTCATTATGAGTTCTTTATATGTATATAATATTGGCGCATCACAATTCGTAATATAAAAACTTAAGATTTATTATTATTATTGCCTCAATTATTTACTTTAACTTTAATTGGTTGGTGCGACGTAAAGGTTTGACTTTATTATTTACTTGTTTCATTCTTCTGGTTCTTCTTTATTTCAGTTTGGCTTATTTAAACATCCTAGTTGGATGTGCTCTAGCTATGGGTTTGCGTTACGCTGGGACATCGAATTCAAATGCAGCTAATACACTAGTAATATTTTTGATGAATTTACTACTACTTATAATAATAATAATAATAATAATAATAATAATAATAGTGATAATAATAATAATAGTTTTTTTGTATTTTGTAACGCTTTTGCCGCTATACGATATTTATAATCAGCACCAGCCAAATAACCTGTGTGGCATTGTAATATTGATGGGCTACTACCACAAGTAGTTTCCATTAACAGTCTTATTTGTTCGTTGATTAGATCTGATTGATCGAAACTATCTTATTATCTGTTACATTCTAATTATCCTGATCATTTACAATTCATAAATACTGTGGCATTGGACTTTGATATCTTTTAGGTTACCTCGATGTTGTTACCGTTGTTTGATTATTATTGAACCTTTTTTTGTGCTTACTACGTAGTGCTAGTTCTCTGAAATAAAAAAATAAGTAAGCTTTAAGGTTTTGCTTGCATGTAATTGTCGTAATTAGTTTGTAGATAAACATAACTCCAAATCAGTCACAGTGACAAGGATAAATTCGTCATTCTCTTTCTCTTCCATCTCGGGTCTTAGTATTATTTCATACTTTTTATTCCCCTACATGACTCCTTCATTTCAAACCAAATTCTCCATGTTTAACCTTACTTTCATTGATACTAATGTCGTTTTGACTCGTTTGTCACTCATCCTAATATATCTATATGCCGTGTGGTAACTTGAAGTGTTGCAGATTTATTTAGGTCCTACGTTGAGTATGGCTGATTGCCTCACAAGTGATCTTATGTAATATTCAAATATCGGTAATTATATTTATTTTACTCTACTGAATAGACAATATTCTTACAGATATCTTTGTCTCCTCTCCATTGTCTGTAGTTAGTTTGTCAGCTTTTAATTAGATTATTTGATGTGTCGAATTATTTCTTGCTACCAATGTTTTGGAGGCAACTAAGTTATCTTTTGTCTGAAAGATCCGGTTTTTAGCAAGTGAACTCAAGTTCATAGTTTTCTACATTTTTCGTTGTGAAAGATTATCACGAAGATTAATTTTATTTATGCTTTCTATGTTTTAATAATATAACAAATGATTCTATGTTAAAAATGTTTACATTATCTATTCTCCTGTTTACTACCATGTACAATAGCTATGTTTTAGTTTCTTTGTTCCCTGACGTTGTAAACTGTGTTGAAAACCAAACTTATAAGATACTTTGTTGCAAAACCATAATGATCCATTTACGAACCCTTTCGTTCAAAATGATATCATTCGATCATTATGAGTTTTTTGGTATACATAACACATGTGCTCATAGACACTTATTAGCTTCAGTTGTCTTGGGTTGTAAACCAGTGTAATGAGTTCTCTTTATTTATTGCATTTTAGTATTCTCTTGCAAGAAGTCTTTTAAACGATACTTGGTGGCCTCCATCATATTTTACCGTTAAATCACCGTCTCAAAATAAGCAGTGTGATTCAGAACAAATAAAGACATCTTTACCGAAGTCCACGTTAGTTCAAAGTGCAGCTCAGTGTCTCTTAGCTCTCGCTATGATACTTGCTGGCTCTGGCAATCTGACTGTTCTTAAAATAGTTCGGCAACTGCGAGCTATCCATCTATTCAATTCTAAACCGGATACTTTGAGTTCTGGACCAAGTAACAGTACTGCATCAGACTCACTCTATCATACTGTTACAGCTGCCGCAGCTCGTGCTGCTGCGACCACGCAAACCGTTTCCACTAGCTCAACAGGAGCGTCTGTTAGTGATCCCGTATCTGTAGCGTCGGTATTTGGTGCTGCTCTTGGTCCAAGTTATGGATTACAAATGGTTCTCGCTAACATCGTTGGTTTGTTATTTCTTGGCGGTGGACGGTATGTAAATCATTCCTAGCCGTTTTTATTTTATTTTCACGTATTGAAATTTAACGTTTAGAAAAATTAAGTTAGTCTTTTAGTAGTGTTGAAGTTCTCATGACTGAGTTGTTTCCTTACATTGGATTATTCCTCATCTTCGTCCGTGTATCTCTCAACAACTTATGAATTAATATAACTTGCTTGTATACAGCTATTGAAAACCGAACTGTTACAAACTGAGTTTTTAGTTATATGCTAGTTAAAAAGGTTAGAATCAATTTCTTAACTTTTCAATATGGTTTTTCGGTTTGTTGTATTGATCAATAAGACTTCATTTGAAAAATGTGTATTTTAATAAACACACGAACTGAATGAATAATATTCTATTCAACAAATTGTCATCAGTTCCCAAATTAATATTACAAAGAGAATAGCCAAGTGTGGGGCAGGTAAATTTTTTAAAATTGTAGCTCAATATTGTGAGTTGATTTGATTTAGACATGTCCTAGCTCAGCGGTTTAGAGGTAAGCGTTCGTGCATGAGACCGAAGGTTCCTTCCCATCTCCTTTCAACCAAGTCGTATAATGTTCTTGTATTTTTTTGAGTTTAACAGTCATCGAAGAATCTACGTACCTAGCTTTGCAGAAGCAGGTAATGAACTAAGAAGTTGTCAAATATGAGAGCTTATGCTTTAGATTGTTGATGAGCATTTGTCGGTTAGCGTTTACTAAACGTAAGGTTGCTCGGAAGAGCGTTCTTTTGAGAGAGAAATCCTTTTCTTCAAGATGTCTGCGGCTTTCCATGTTTGAAATTGATGCTTATGAAGAGGGTTTTCTTTGGTGCGGAGCGTATTTGTACTTTTAGAGGTTTAAACTGTATGTTCTTGTAGACCAGTCTCGGTGGATACTCGTTTTCAAATCTGATAGGTTTCGGCAGATGATCTATGTTGACTGTATGACTTGTTTTAGCTTAATGGACCGGGATGGAGGTGTTGACTATTTTTTTAAAAACTCGCTTATGACCTAATCATACTGGAATTATTTCACAAGCACGGGAAAGTAAATTCCTGATGCAACTTGCTCTGTTTTAGCAGTTGAATTGTTAGTGACGAAGAGGTCACTATTATGGACAATCTGTCCTTCAATCTTAATGTCATCACTGGATGTGTGGAGAGCATTTAAAGTTTCCCTGCGTTGAACATTCTTTGGATTATCCCACGCAACGTAACATTAACATTTGGCTGTGTGCACCATCCCTAACTGGTGTTTGTATAAACAGCGATATTTTGTTAACCATATGAACTTTATTTTGTTTTTATTTCGTAGTTAAGTAAATACCTTTTTGTAAATTTCATTGAGTATCCATTTTACTAATCAATTGTTTCTAAGGTTTCCATCTTGTTAATTTTCTGTTTTACTTTTGTTGACTTTTACGTCTTATGGTAGTATGAAAGTAGTGAGTTAGACTATCATGCCGCATTTTGTTTCATAACTCGTAGTAGTAATAAAAGTAATACTAGCAATAATAATACTAATACTAATGATGGTAATAGTGATAAGTATTATTACTATTCTCGTTATTGCCTTACAAGTAAAGTTATAACGTGTTATTAATTTAATTATCTCATAGTCTTTGCGTGATGCCATTTCCATTCATTAACATTTTTCAAAGCAAATAAGCGCGTATATATGTGTTGGTGTGTTTACCCATGATAGTTAGCTTATGTGAGTAAACTGATATGCATTTAATTAATCTGCACATTTACCACTACGAATAATATCATTTATAACAGTTGAAGCTAGAATTTAGTTTTACGTGCATAGGTTTTTAGAACATATTTTAAAAGAAATATTCATTTGTGTTTTTATTATATTTTTAGATTAACGCTAGCAAATACACCGGAAGCTGCTGCAATGCTGATTATATCCTTTTTCCCTCTTCTTCCTACATTCGCTGGTGATAATTGGTAAACTGATCATACTTGTATAGTTTTACCTAAATAGCTTTCGACCCCCCTACAACTCATCTTATAAAGTTACACTTGATTTGGATGATCTTTGTGTATGCACTTTGACAGGATTTAAAAAATATGTATATAAAAAATTGAATCAATTGTTTTACCTACTGTTGCACTACTTGTAGTATTGCCAGCCCTCACATTTAAATCTTTCTGAAAGCCAGGCATATATATAACGAAACTGGAGCTAAAAACAAGCCTCAAACACGTGACGAATAAAAAAACCCAGTTAGTAATGGTAGCTTTCCCCGTGTATCTTTCTTCCGTGTATCTCTGCTTGTCAGCTCTAATGCTGTTCTCCGCTTGCTTGTTTACTTCTGTGCATTCAGCTTGTGCCTTGACTTTCTCTGTTGTTGGTAATTGCTGTCTCCTTGTTCTTCATTTATTGAATCATGGCGAGTTTCCATGGAGATCCATTCCTTATGATGATGCTTGTCGCAGCCCAGGACCTCATGAAACGTTGAAGTTAGGGCTTCTTTGATACTTTTCCAGTTGTCCTTCATCGTAGTTTCTTCTTTAAGTAGATCCTGTAAGGCTTGGAAGGTATTATTGAGAGCTATCTTGAATTCGTTGAGTTTGTCAGTATGTCGAACGAAAGCTTTATTGAACCTTTGTAATGCTGTTTCCCCAGTTTCCCACTGATTATCCAACTTATGTTTCATTTTGGCAAACACCAGGTGGTGATCTGAAGTTATGTCAACTATTCTCTTAGTTCTCACATCTTCCACTAACCTTCTGAATGTTTTGGTGGTGCAAATATGATCTATCTGGTTCTCCGTGATGTGATTCTGTGAGACCCATGTAGCTTTGTGTATGCATTTGTGGGAGGATATTGCACCGCCTATAACCGATTTGTTGAGGGCATATAGATTTGTAAATCTCTCACCATTTTCGTTCCTTTCTCCTAATCCATGTCGTACCATGATATCTTCATAACCGTTGTTGTTCATTCCAACTTTGGTGTTTAGATCTTCCATCAGGATTGTCAGGTCCTTTAATGACAGCTTCGCTGTGATCGATTGTAGCCTCATAAAACTGATCTTTATTGTCGTCGTTGCTACCATCGGTGGGTGCATAACACTGGATAGCATTCATTGTGATTCCCTTCTATTTTGCTTTGAATGATGCTTCGCTGATCCTGTATCCGTGAAATTCCCATCCTATAAGTTCACTTCGTGCTTTTCGAACAGCTTCAGAATGACTCCCTGTGAGTTCGGAGCATTCTATTTTTCGTGAGCAGGGTACAACAGCATCTCTGCTGAATCCATTCTTTTCTGTCCAGCTTGGGTCCAATGGGGTTTCGCTGAGTTCGAGTACTGCCAGATTGTATCTCCTCATTTCTGTAGCTGTTTGACTGGTTCTCCCGGTTTAACCTAGTTAGTGTTTTTATATCAATGTTGTTATCTACGGGATGGGGTTGCCGACCTCATGCCAAATCCTCCTTTGTGTGTGCATGGGACTGACAGTAACTCCGGAAGAACTACGGTCGCATTCAAGTTGTATATATAGTTAAATTGAAAACACAACCGCAAAGAACTTGCTCTAGTACACATTTCTTATCACGTCTCCTCAAGGTCCTACAATGCCAGATTGATCGGTTGAAGAGCAGTAAGAGCAAAAACAGCAAACACAAGATACGAGGGTGAAGTCGTCCTACTGACTGTACAGAGATGTGACAGCAGTAAGTCGTTTTCTTCAGACAACAAACATGACAGCCATATTACCTTCTCACAAGGAAGGCTGGGGTTAAAAAATGCACACCTCATCTTATCTTATGGGTTATCGTCTCCAGCTATAAGGTCCCAACAAGTTTGGAGCTAATACGAAAACTACTCACAAAACAGTCGTGTGTGACCGGCCTGAAGCAGTTGTCCCTTCTGCACTGCGGTCACACTCAGGTCACTAAGAGCACCTCTCATCGAATTTCATTTTCAGGTACCTCTAGAAAAACCCTTCCACTATGTGAGCAGCCACTCTCATGCATCTGACGGCACTAAAGACTGACTGACAGTTCATTAATGGATTGTAACAAAACCTTGGGCTGGCTAAAATGACATCTACAAACGTGTCATCCTCAATATACTCAACCTATAACAGGAACAAAAACCTTTACAAATGAAAATACTCTATCTACCTAAATAAATAACCCCTTAAATGTACTAAACAAATGTCCTTATCCAGGGTGCAAAAACTTAAACATTACGTTCGTATTTATAGTTGTTTTTTGATAAATATGTGAGTCTATAGAAGAATAAAAAAGATCACATTATAAATACCGAAAGGAAGTTACCTAATTATCAGTGAATTGTTTTCATTCTCCCATTCTTCTTTAACTCCCTTGATCACTATGCAACCTTTCGATATTAGAAACCTGACATAACTTTATTATGCAATCACTTTTGGTCTTCTATAGACTTATATGTTTATCAAGCCACTATACATACGAGTTTACAGATTAAGTAAATTACTTCATTGAAGATTAAATTTTAGGTTGATTACAGAGGTGATTTTCTGGGAATGTTATTCTTTTTCAGGTATCATTTACAAGCTCTTCGTCATTTTTATGCTCTCGCTACCATACCTCGACGCGTTTGTGCTGTAGATGTTGATACTGGTCGAGTTGTTCTGTCTAATTTTGAGGCCAAACTACGTGTAAGTCTTTCTGAGTAAACCTTTACGTTATCTTTCTATGTGTATTTGTTTTTTATGTCCACCTATCTTAAAGTTAGTTGGCACTGTTTTACAAAAAAACAGTTATGTAGTTAGTAGTTAGTCTGAATCAAGGTCTAGACTTAAAATGCAATTGTTTTACACTATGCTTTCGCACACTTATATTATTTTGTATTTATCAAACATCCAGTCAATTTGTCTTTATTATACTTGCAGGAATCCGATGTTATAGTTTCATCAAATGACACTTTTGTCTTCCCATCTGATGTATTAGAAAACATAGCTTGGGTAAGTCAAAACAGTAAATCAGTTTTTATTGTCAAAGTCTTCTTATTCAAATAACTGTCTACTTGAGATAAAAAACGGATTTCAGAAAGTTCATTATTATGTATTTTTCAATATTTGAGTTGAAATGTCCTTGATTTCTTCAAACTTACTGAATAAATCTAATTTTTATGACGAGATTCTAACCGATCATAGTATTTTTTTAAGCTAGTGAGCATTTTTGAAAAACGAACCACTTAGATGTGAAGCTATGTAGTGTAAAACATATGAGCGCTTGATCCACTGGACAGAACGGGACTATTTCGATCAGTGTGGAAGTGTTTATCATCAACTAGCATGTTTAGTATGTATGCCACTAAGCTGTGAACTCACTGTTTTGCGATTGTTTTCAGCAAAGTATCATTGTCATGATTTTTTATCAGAGATGCCCAATATTTCTTTTATGCACATATGTTATTCCACCTTTCATGCATAAATTTCCTGCATTCGGATCTTATGGGCTAGGTAAATCTGTCACAAAGAAAGAAAGATAGAAATACGTTAGCTTCCAAAACTATCCAGTATAATATCTTATTCATTTACTATACGAAATTATTATACTTTATGGCTTAATGTGATTTTATTTAGTAAACCTACTTATGTGATTGAATATTAATCTTCATATTATAGATTACTTGTCCGACTTATACGGTAAAACCAGAGTAAATGTTAACACTCGCTAACGTGACTGGTATATTATTCAATGTTCCTTTTGTTCTTCTGCACAGCTCAGTCATAAATATTACTTAGGGTATTGTTTTGGAGATGTTGGTGAATAATTAGACCAATATAAAATTCGTAGACGTCTAACTGCTGGAGCATTCTCGTCTTCACTTTTGTGTAATGGGATTATTGGTCGTATACTTCTGGAAATCGTTTTGTGACAGATTTCAAATAGTCAGTTTTACTTTAGACCTATGATTTCTTTAAATCTTCATTGATTATCGAGATTTTTTCATTATTTCAGCTTGAAATCAATCATAATTCCAACAAATATTGGCCTACTGTTTTTTATCATGGGACAAATAATTGGGATATATTTAGGTAAGAATTCGTTTTTTTGTAAGTAAATGTTAAGTTAGTATGTACTCGCTATACATTATTTTTGCTTTCTTATTTTCGTTACAGAATGACATTTTATAAAGCTGGCTATATTTTTGTTAAACAACGAGATGAAGGAGAAGAGTTGAACGTCCTACAATCATGGGTAACTGATCAACATTCTTTCTAGTCATATATATAAAATACTAAGTTTAGATTTTGAATGACTGATGTAACTTATCGTTAACAGTATATGAGTTTGCTAGAGATGAGCACTTGTTAAGAGATTGAGAGATGAAATTTAGTACATTTTCGTTGCTATCAGGTGTTGTCGAAGGTATACTAACCGGTTATTTAATTTTCCGCAACCTATTAAACTCAAGCTCAATTTGACAAAATTTAAATGTCATTTTCCATTAGGTTGGATTGCTAGTCTTGGTAAAATTACTTGAAAGTAGTCAGACATTGTAACTGTTTATGTTTATATAAAATTCAATTTTGAGTTGTTTATGTGCTGTGCTTGAACTGCTGAAATTCAGGGACTATATAACTACGACTTGAAGTCGATCATGCGCTTATTCCTAATTTGCTTCTTCACATCCTAGAATAAAAAATCGAACTGGTAATTTTTAGTAACAAATTCTGAACATCTTACGTTGGTTTGCTCTCAACATGATTGCTTCAAAGTATTCCTACCGTTTTACTTTCTTTTCTGATTACATTGTCGATTATGAAAACCGAAACCAATACACCTACCTGTGGTTTTACTTTCTTCTCATTTGTCAGGCCTCCACCTGACTTTGTGAAATACTGGTTATAGTTTGAAACGATTGTCAATGGCAATGAAAGTATTAATTAATGATTTTATTATTTTTCTATTTTAAGCTCGAAGAATGTTTGAAACAGTGGTTGGATTTATGCATATTGAAACAATTAAAGCTGTTAGTCGCTTTCTTGAAACGGTTTTCATCAACAAACAAGTTGGCTATATCGAATGGTCACGATCGTACTGGAAATTCATCTCGATTGTTGTCATCATGCTCTGATTTGGGACGTCTTTTAGCTGCGCGAGTTACTCAGCATTTTATAAAACATAAAGATGGTAAACACTGCTTATGTTTATATAATTTGCATATAACTTAATTGATGACATTTCTCATTGATGAAAATACTTGTCTTTCAATTAATTATTGTGCATTTTGTCCCATTTATTATGGTTTTAAAAACTGAATATTATCATTAATCCTCTATACAGTGATTCAGATTTGCTGTATTCTACACAAGTTTGCATATTGCCATATCATTAATGTTTCTAATTGAATGAACCACTACAAATTTTTACTTATTCAACTTGAGCGCTCCTTGCGACAAAAGAAACTTATGCCGTTTTAAAAATTAAATTTCCGCTTAAAACTTAACAAACATTTATGATGTAGTTTGTGTCACTATACAGTTTATTTCGGGTAAACTAAAAGCATGTTAAAAGTGATCATGGAAGCTTGTTGATTTAAATTTCATTTTCTCATTCTAGAGCTTTCCGTTGGTTTGAAGAATTACTACTTTGATGTATCCAGTGTTACAACTACTGCTAATCAGCATAACACATTCCAATCCAGACTAGTCAAGGCATTCCGATTGTGGTTCAGTTTACCTGACCATACTATTCTGTTACCTCATCTACCTAAAGGTTAGTACATTAATTTGACTTCCAGTATTTTGCCTCGTTGTTATCGATTGTTAATAACAATGATTAGGTTAATTTTACGCACAAGAAGAGGAATTTGTGTTTCTTCGACTCATTGAAACTGCCTACTGATCAGACATATTTCAGTGTTTCTTTGTCTATTTATATAACCCTTGGATCAAACAAATTGGTTTGATCGAATACAAATATACCCCATTTTATTGTAACTCATCACCCCTCCCGCTCACCAAAAAATGTACGGAGTTATCGGCTGGCAGTAATTATTTGTATTTGAACTTACATCACGGTTTGATTTTAGGGTGTTCTTCGAAGTGGATGGTCTTTCTAAATGACATCAATAGCACGTATATTGAAGAGAAGTGATCTTTAAATTTTTTGATGTCTATAAAAACAATGAAAGGTTTGTGGCTAAACTATACAGCTCAGAGGACACATTTCCACAATTTTATTACTCTGAATACTAATTAACTAAATTACAGCTTCAGATGTGATTCTACTTTTATTTTCTTTAAGATGATGTACTACCGCTGGTCAACTTCCTTTCAGTTGTAAAACAACATAGTCCTACAACACCAGTTCCGAACATACTTTGGTTCCACAGATTTCTTTATACACATAGTTAAGGAGTCCAGTTTCTTTGTTTATGAAATAATGATTTACTTTAGCGACTAAATGATCAAAAGGATGTTTCGTGTAATTGTTATATATGATATTTATTATTGTTATTTGTGCTGTACATCTAATAACCTATAATTCGTTGTTTGTAAATATACATGTTACAAGAGTATATTTTTCACCAGGTTCAAGAGGATCTGTGCCGTTATTGATTTTGAGTTCTTATCGTTATCCAGTGAATCCATATTCAGTATTAGGTTTCTGTTCGTTTTTCCTAAATATATCACTAACCTTTACAAGTTTATTTGTTTACATTTGTTTTTAATAGAAAGATACAATAGCACAGCCAATGATATAATAACTATGTACAAATCACACCTTGTATGGTATATTTCTAGCAACTGAGAATTAGGTTCCAAAGAAGCTTAAATCTTAAGCATAATCTGAATAGCTGGGATTAGTCACAACTTTCTCGAAAGATAATATTTAATTGAGGTATATATAAGAGTGTTTCCAATTCCAGAAGAGTGCTTGGCGAGACTATAATCTATGGGCGAACTAATCAAATATAAGATAACGAGTCTTGAATTTTGGCGTAAAATTCATTCATACATTATTGCTGATGTCAGTTCGTGATGAAAACCCTAAATCTAATTTCTAACCCGAACAATCAACTGTGAATCACAATTCTAATTCCTCGCATTGTTTTATAACGTCATTTGGTCCCACATAGTAGGTGAACGTTCGCAAGGTCACTTTAGCGTCGTTCATAAATTACTGTCTCACTGAGTGCTTCAATTCACAATCGAAATGCACGATTGCAGTCAATGCAAGCTACACAGACAAACGGGAGAATAAATCGACATGGCTACTGCCAAGACTAATTATCAACTAAAACGACATGAATACAGTTTAGGAAGAAACATGGAAAATTAGTAATAGCGTAAAGAAAATCAAAATAAAAAAGGAACACTAACAGAATATACAACTGACGGAATCAATGGGATTGAATTACATATGTATACGCGGAGGGGATTTTACACACAAAACCTTCAAAATGGATTTCACAGAAAGATGTACCTCGTAAATGCTCTTCGCTCAAACACTACTAATCTACTGTCATCTGATTTTACAACACTAAGTGGTGTCCGTCTAGGCTGTCGATTATCTCAATTTCGTCATACACCTACTGCTTAAAATACAGTTCTCGTTGAAGCAGAAAAGCCACATGGTTATCACAGAATGATTTTGACCTCTTATATATTGGGACAATCAGTGATTGTGACCAGTCAGATGGGATAACATCCAACTCACAGATCTTAGCTAAAACCTTCATCAACCTAGTCGCTAAAATTGGACCACCATACTTAAAAACCTCTGGAACCAATCCATCTGGACCAGCTGCTCATCCTCCTTCTAGATTAGCTATAGCATTTTGAACTGTTCTCTATAGTGTTCCACCCATCGTTCTAAACGTCTGGACTGAGAGCATATAAGTGTTGTCTTTTTCCGAGATAGTCTCACTTATACTTGACTTATTAATTCCAGTTATTTTTATGAGTCTGAAGAGCTGTCTTGTATTACCTACAGCGGCCGCCTTTTCCATCTCTTTTGCTTTCGTTGCGCACCACTGCTCACGGTCGTTCCTTAGACTTATGGTTAACCTAGATCTGATTTATTTACGCTCTTCATCGTGTTCAGAGCCTGATGGGATTAGTTAACGATAACCCATCAGTGCTACAGATTTAGTAGGAATCCATTGGTTTTTCGTAACCCCTCAATTCAAATCACTAATACTTATCACTGCTGTTTCCATAGATGCTTGTATATCATTCCAAGCAACGTCTGGGTCAGCCTCGTTTTTAGAACTAAGTGTGACCTCAGTTGTTCCTGGAATCTACATTCGACTTTCACATTAATCAATTCAGTTCTAATGTGTCTTTTTTGCGTCCAGTGAGGCGCAAGCAGATGCGCACCTGTATTGGGCTATGGTCGGAGTCCAAGCAGGTACGCCAGAATGAGCGACAATCTTCTACTGACCCTCTTCAACGATGACTGATGGCAATATGGTCTATTTGAGTCCATCGTTGGTTTGGTGTAGGCGGTCGCCATGTTAAACGATGTATCTCATTATGCTCAAAATTTATGTTTGCTAAAAATAAACGATTGTCTGAGCACAGTCGCAGCAGACGATCACCATTATCTGTTCGCTGAGCCGGAACACTTAAATGCCTTTCTGTTTGGCTTAAACTACCTATCTGGTAGTCACCTGCTACGAGTACTGTGTCTGAACGTTTAGTTTTCTGAAGAAGTTCAGATAGCTTTCTGTAAAATTCATCTTTCACTTCATCCGAGCTGCAGTCAGTGGGAGCGTATGCAGAAACGACAAAAAGGCAACGATGTGTGTCCCTATTCTTCCGAGTTCTTACGGAGGATACAGGATACATTCATTCGATTGGTAGAACTACTATTCATTTCGCCATTAGTGAAAGTAGTCTTTATATTTCGGATCCTTTTACTTTAGGTTATTTTCATAATTACTATTGTAAATTACAAATTCGAATAGTTCACTTGATATTCAGTACGATTATTTTTGTTCAGTTGTTGAAACTTGTAGTAGCATATCCTTCATTTAAGTTTGAAGCTAATAAATCGTAGCGCTATAATTAAACCTACTAAAATTTCCGTTTCGAGTATTACTGGTCAGAAAATTCCTTTTATTTATTATTACAATTTGCTGGGTGTAGATGATAAATATTCGGTTAGAATCAGTGAATAACTCATTGATGATTATGTCGCACCAATCCTGGGTCTGTATGGTTTGGAAAAACTTTCCTTAATGATGAAATACGGTTGTAATGTAGTGCTTGATATGTTATCTATAGAGTCAAAGCGCGAAGTTTAGCGCACAAATTCAAGGGTTTCCTATTCATACGCTAAGTTATGATTGGTATATACTGGATTGGGAGTCAATTACTTATTCCAAATATAATACATTTATTTGTACTCAACCAGTACTGTCTGCCTTAAATTAAACTATTCCGAAAGTTCTTAGCAAGTCAGTTCGAATAAAATGTTGATTAACATCGTATCCCTATGGCGCAGAAGCTTCCGCCCATATATGTCCTATTTCTGTTCTCTTTCAAGTTCACTTTCCTTCAGAATGTGCTTCCGTTTATTTTACTATCGGCAAGGGCATGACGTTTTGGGATCAATTTCGCACGTGTAGTTCACGAATAAGTATAAACAGTTTTACCGAGTGACTGGTCACCACAATGAGTGCAAGAATCTACAATATTGGCAATAGTACATGCACTAGTCAAATAAACCTGACTAAATGTATTTTACTTTAATGCATGTTTTACACTTCGCCCGAGTATACGAATTCATTATTTTAGCTGAGAAGTCACGTAAAATCTTTACAAAATCATATTCTCTGTAAAAAAAATTACTGTTTTAAAGAGTAAAGCAATACAAAATATTGAAAAGTGTCTTGGATGTTCTGATTACCGTACGAAATGCTCGTATTATTTATTCCACACGTTGATGTCTCATTAGGCATTCAACAATGCATCTGAATCGTCCTGCTTTACTGAATGCTCTTGCGGCTGCCCCGAGTGATGCTGCTGGATTTAGGGATAATTTAACAGCTGCCAATTGGGCCGCAGCAAGTGCTGATTCTTGATCTGTTGAAACAATTGTTGGCTGATTACGGTTACCCTTCCAAGCACTCCACATACGAATTTGACCATCAGCGCTTGCGGATACGTACTGTAGTGGTGTAAGAATTGTTGAAAAACAACAGATTTTATCCACCATGAAAAACTCTCACGAAGCGTAGTTCACGCTTCGCTAAATGCATCTTATTCAACATTCTGAATTAAACAACAGTTTTTGGACATTAGGGATTAACAAGTTAGCTGAATACGATTTACCTAGGTTTTGGATAGCTGTATTTTAAATCAATTATTTGAAATGTACATATGGTAATTAATCGACTAGTTAGCTAGTCTATCTTTATTCGGCAAATTCGGAAGCATACAACGGAGGTCAGCATACCAACTTAGCTATTATCGCGTAAAATCCAAACGGTGCGCTGTCATTTGAATCGGGCACGACATCTTTGTAATTATCTGCTTTCATTCTCAAAAATTGTTTAATTATGGGGGAACCACATTACCATAACAAGTCTTATGTATAGTCGCTAAGATATGACGACAGGTATCTGTTCTAGACGAGGTTTATTTGCCTCCAACTGCAGTTAAGTTTTTTGACATTAGAAATCAGATTTGTTAGGAGCAAATTATCATCAATTTTGTGTTCGTTATAATGCAAATCCACTTGATATTCCAACAGTGTAACTTGCACTTGGAAACATAAACTTACCTCATCTTCTTCCGGTAATATAATTATAGACCGGATTATATCAAGATGACCTTTGTAATTTCGATAAACATGTCCAGTTAGCAGATCATAAATTCTGTAATACAAAAAGACATGATAATGTGCTTAAAAATTTATTGATTTGTTTAAAGTAATAAGGAGTGTTGTATAATTCCTTTTCATCTTTCTTACTTTTGAATATTTATAATATTATACCAGTAAATTATAGATCAGGAATTATAAAAAAGTCAGTATTTAAACACTGTATATAAGTTAGGAACACTAGGATTTACTCAAAATAAGAACATGTTACTTATCTCGTCTTTTAACAATCAGGTTTATCAATTTACTTACACCTGTTACTCCCAATGGAGCATAGTCCACCGACCATCATTCTCAAACCCACTCTGTCCTGGACCTTCTTTTATAGTTCTATCCAATTGTTTTTCATTTTTCTCATGTCTGTCTCCATTTCTTTACGCAATGTGTTCTTTGGTCTTTTTCTTATCCTTTGGCCTTGATGATTCCAAGTGAGGGCTTGCCTTATGACGCGGTCCGGTGTTTTCTTCAATGTGTGCCCTATCCACTTCAAGCACTTCTTCCTGATTTCTTTCTCCGCTGAGAT